GCTCTTGATGTCAGAGTGAAGCCCGATGTGTGTGGCCCCTGTTAGGCGCTCTTGATGTCAGAGTGAAGCCCGAAGTGTGTGGCCCCTGTTAAAGCACACTTGATATCAGAGTGAAGTGCCTTTGTGCGTGGCCCCTGTTAAGGAGCTCCTGTCCTGTCTGTTTCAGCCGAGGATTGCAGAGGAGAGCCTGACGTACGCAGAACTGGAGCTCGTCAAGCCCCAGCCGGAGACCCGGGCAGCCTGCACAGGGACCGTGTACGCTCAGATTCTGTTTGAGGAGAAACAGCTGTAAATATTCCTGTACCATAATCAGATAAATTACTATATTGTTTATTTATAAAAAACATTTTTTCGTTTTGTCTGTTCTTTCATGTTTCTGTTTCAAAGCTTAGATTTTTTGTCTTCGTGTGGATACACTTCTGTTCTATTCTGCTAGATCAGTTTACCTAAAAGGATAAATCTTCAACCTCTTGAGATCTAATAGAATAGACAAAAAGAAATAACTGAACAAATATATATTGTATATTTTTGAAGAAATCTTACATTGATGAAGAGTCATGTCCAGTAGCATCCTGAGATCAAATACCATGTGTCTGTCTATCTTGTAAAACATGAAAATTTAAATTTTATTTTAGGACAAAAGATAAGTATGGAAATTTAAATATAACTGCATGTGTTTTAAATTGTAATTTTACTGGTCTTTTTATAAGTATTTTTATATCCCGTAGTAATGAATAAAAAAACAGACATAAAGAAAACATAATGCACATTGAAAACCTGTGTATTAAATTTCAAAACTTAAGTGTGGTTATTGTGTGTGTGCTCATCTGTCACACCCTTTTTATTCTGAAGAGTGGAGCTTCTGTAAATCACAGCTATTGTAAATCAAAGGGATTTGTGGGTTAAAGCCTGATGGGTTACAGTACGACTGGTGTTACAGCAGAGCAGGGCCCAAAGTTGCCCTGCACACAATTCCTGTGCTTAGATTTTAAAAATGGACAGGAATGTCAAGCTTAAGAAACATGGAGATGAAAACCATGTAAGAGTGGCAGTCGCTAAAAATTTCATAGCTGATTCAACAAAAGATTTTAAGCTGTACCCTTGATATGCCTGGTGCCAAGCAGGGTGCCCAAGTTGTCAGTGCCTGTGATGAACTCACCCATGGTTACATTTATTAAAAATTATAGTAATTGCAATGATGCTTAATAATTAGCTTTACAGTGCATTATAATTGGGTTAGACTACAAGATGGTTCTGCCTAGGTGCTGTAATTTATTTGATTTAATTATTTCAAAGAGCCTAACAGTCTGACATTTAATATTATAAAATCATTGGTGTATTAAAATTGAAACCGCTGTTGTCTTTTAGAAGGTCATTTGCTTCTTCACGGAGATATATGATGATTATTTTCCAGTCTATTAAGCCGTTATACTTAGCACAATTAGCACTGTGTGCAAAGGTTAAAGAGAGTGCTCTCCCTCTTCATTGTGGTCAGAACACAGATTTATCTCGAGCTGCACCTGCCCCTTTCTCCAGTGCGTGTGGTTTTCAAGAAACAGAGAGTAACTGTGCACTAAAGCTGCAGGCCTGCTGAGCTCACGGCCGCTGTGGTATCGCGCTCTGTCACATTGAGCAGTGCTGAAAGTGCAAACGCAAACACACCACAATAATAATAATAATAATAATTTAGCTCATTCAGTACTTAATTAGATCATACCAAAATAGAGAAAATCCAGACATTGTAAGTAGCATTGTTTCATTCTCCTAAATCACCATTTGTTTATTCTGAGGTTGGCCATTCATGTCATAAAAGACGGTATGCATGTAACAAATCTTTTAAAGACATAGGTAACACCACTGTATGCTTGCCTGCAGTATTTCTGATCAGCCAAAGCTCTTTTGTATTCAGCAACCAAAAAATAAAGTGGAGTACCTTAAAGTACAGAAACAATAACCTTACTGTTGAGCTGATGTCAACCCCTCATTAGACTGGGGCAGTTACTATCTCTCTGACTACCCTTCCTTTCTAAGATGATTCATATGTCTTAATGATGGTAATTAGGGAAAGCAGATCTAAAGACTGGGAGTAAGGCAACAATTAGCCTTCTCCCCCAGGAAATGAATGGTGCATATAGAGAGGGGGGCTCTTTTTCCAGGAATCAACACATCACTTTCCCCATAGTGACAGTATTAAACTATCCCTTCTGAAATATTTTTCTCGTCACGTAGTCAAATGGCAGCAGTCTCTTGTACAGCCTCTTAAGATAAAAAAAATCATTTGCAGTACATGATAACAGGTAATTTCAAACAGGCTTCAAATAAAGGTCTCATGTGGCTAATTACGTAACATTCCCCTAGAGTTAGGAATGGGCCAAGAGTCTGGAAGCTGCTGTAGAGCCTGGAGCAGCTCTGTTGTGTGAAGGCTGTCCTTCATCCTGGTAGGTGCCAGTTCAGATCTAGGCTGTGCCCCTAGCTGTCTGTGATTGGTGCTTCTTAGGAAGTAACACGGACAAGGCTGTCAGGGTGGAGAATTGTGGGTCCTCAGATCACAGTACACCAGCACCACCCCCAGGCTGAGTGCCTGTTCATCCGGGCACTATTAGCAAAGGCTGTGTAATTGTTTCACTTGCGGTGAATGCTCTGCTGTCTGCTTCAAAGTGCGTGCTTTGAAAGATGTGGTGTTCTCATCTTGCTGGTGTGGGCCAAGAAATAGATTAGCATTCAAACACAAGGGTACAACAAGAGATGCAATCTGAACTCCATATTTGCACAACAACATCCAAAAATGTATGACTGTGTAATTTAGTTTTTAATTTAACCCTTTATTTAACCATGCCTGCCAAATGAGAGCTACAGTAATTCCTATTTGCAATGATGACCTGGAGATCCATTTATGTTGCACTATACTTGTTGCAGCTTTGAGTGAATATGCTGGTGAGTACAACAGCAGCATCCCAGGCATGATCTGAACTCCCAACGTCCTAGTCTAGAACACTGACTATTTCTCCAATGTTAAACACTATTAAATGTAATTATAAACAAACAGATCGATATCTTCACATTGCCATTCTGTAGAGAATGTGTAATTTTTCTCTCTTTTCCTCTATTCTGCTCGGGAGAGGCATTTAAAATTCCTGATTTTGTAACAGAGTGCTAATTTAGTTCCTCTCTTTGGGAGATCAATGACTTCTTCGGATTGACTAGTGCAAAATGATTTGTTTTTCAGAGTGACCACTGAGACAACACAAAGCAACAGGCACGGCCGCTGTTCGCCGGCTTTGAGAATTTATTTTTACGTTACAGAAATATCAGTCCATATAAAGAACCTTCTTTTTCTGTGTGTACTAGTTATATCCAGGGCCTCCTTCAATAAACAATAAATAACAGACTTCTAAATTGTGAAAAGCTAAAAATAAATCCTTACTGACAGCCTCTACTGTTTTACTGTTCTGCTACTTGTTACTAGTTGGCTCTTGTGTAGAAATAATGAACATCGCCTATCTGAAATGGACCCTGCATTTAGTAAGATCAGGCCTTCAAACCAAATTGAAGAAACAGTAACAATTTGACCTTCGTATTATTACGAGCAGATAGTTGTAAACACCTCCTTTGTTACCTACCTCAGCCTGTAACAATATAATGGATAGCAGCTGTCTCACATGAAGACATGGATATGTAATTGCAGTATGAACCCATAGATACAATACACAACATACAGAACTTATTTAAACAATGAAGCCTAAATTGATGCCATCAGTGAAACATGTCACTCTGAATGTGTGGTCCCAGCTATAAAACATAAAGTGAAGCCATTGATTTGGGGATGCACTTTGTATTATTAGCAGTTCTTAGTAAATTATATTTGCCTGAAGGTTAAAGGAGTTCTTAAATATCTGCAGATACCATAAAATGTTTTTAATCCTTCCACTGAAGTATCGTTCTTTAATTCCACTTCTCCAATGAAGTGTTCTGTTTCCAGCAAGCTGTTGTATGACATTCATTGAACGCTAGCATTTTAAATAAGCATCTTGTAATCCTGTCAAACTTGTCATCTTGTCTTTATTGACTTGGTCCTACTGAGATCTGAAGGTATTGATACTGTAGAACAATCCAAATTTACAAAGAATATTGTACTCACATAGGCCTTCCTTGCGAGTTACAGTAAAAGAAAAGATGATAATCAGTTATGCAATATAAATATGGGGCCTCTAGTTAAATTATTTAGGGCATTTATTTTAACAGTAGTGCCCCTCATCAATTGTCTAAAGATTGAGTATCTGTAGTAATCTATTGTAAAACACAAATGCCTGGACGTTTATTAATCAAAATTTAAAACAAGGAAGAAAAACGTGTTCTTTAGTTGTGGCCCTGGACTCACAATAATTAAAAGAGGTCATACTCAATTCCAGACAGATTATTCTTGTACATTTCTGGCACCAGAAAACAGAAACATAACCTAGCAAACCAATCTTTAACACATGCAGAGGATTTCACATATACATATGTAGGTGAAAGTAATTATATAGCTATAGTGAATAGTTTTCTGTTAAACCTGTATGAACATTTCATTTGCTATAAAATGAAAAAGTCCAAAGGTATTTGGTTTCATCAGGAAGAAAAGGTACTATGAAAGTAATGTATTTCAGGGCAAGTGTTGACCAGAAACAAATTAATTCAAAGAAAAAAGAACCTGAGAGGCTACAAATCAACAATAAAAGCCAAGGTTTGACTGTGTTAAGAGAAAGGCCATCTGGTGGCCAAAGATGTGTTGGACACTAAGCCACAAACACCTTTACCATTTCACCGATTAATAACTTAATCAGAACATAAAGATTTTACATACATACAGCAGCAAATGTCCGTAAAGTATTTATTTACATTTGATAACAAGGGCAAGCCATTTATTTTATGTACAGACTGAATCAAATATGATGAAAAAATCAGATATTTTAGCAAAATAAAGACACTTTTTACTGTTTACTGTATTCTAACCCAAAAGAATGAATGAAAAAAGTAATTGACTACTCTACCAACATTTTAGATCCAAAAATAACACAAAGAAACATTTACTGTACGTGAGCCTCAGAACAGACTGGGATTCTTTGGGATGAAATGAATTATATAAATGTAAGGAATTGTTATTATAATTAATTATTAACAGAAACCTGCAGCCCAGACCGTGAGGCACATGTACTCCTCCAGAGAACAAGGACATAAATCATCAGTCTATTGGGTAGAGACAAAAAAAAATCCTTAAAACAGAATTTATATCAAAAATAATAAATGATATTCCGACATGTGGCTCTGAAACTGAACCAGATGAATGTTTATAAAATAAACACTCTTTCGGCTAAACATTCACAAGCCAGTGGCCTACTGTAGAACAGCCCTGAGACAAACTGCAGCCTCTTCAGTTTCATAAGCCAACAGGATTCAGTTTTTTTGTCTTTCTTTCCACTTTTCCAGAGCGCATTCAAGAAAGGACGCGCTCCATGATCTAGGATGATCCAGTCTACAGCAGTCTGGCCATTAGAATAAATTCTAAGACCCCTCTGAGCTCCAGCGCTGCAGTAGAAGAGGGGCTGTCCCCTGTGCAAGCTTGTGAAGAGGGCGGCGTCAGGTCGCGCTGGCTGGCTCTACAGCTCGCAGGCCCAGCTGTGCACCCGCCCCCAGGCATCCCCAACCAGCAGGGTATTGTGAGTCCTGGAAGAGAAAGGTAAGATATATAAGATATAAGATAATCACTCTGTTGGCCATATACAATTTCTTGCATTAGGAATTTGTCTTTTCGCATACCCCAGCTTGCTCTCCATGAGTCACACAGACAGGGAGAGCTGGGCTTCAGAACGCAGAGTCAGCCATTTATAGAGCACCCCTGGAGCAGTTGGGGTTAAGGGCCTTGCTCAGGGGCCCAAAGGAGAAGGATTCCTCTGGCAGCTGCGGGATTTCAACCGGCAACCTTCCAGCCACAAGCGCAGATCCTGAGCCACAGAGCCACAGCTCATGGCTGAGATAAAGTGAACTCTTCCGCACCTCAGCCAGTTGCGACCTGTCCTCAGGGGCATTCACACGAGCTCATCCAGTGCGCAAGGAAGTGAGCGAACGCAGGGGTAACAGGTGACGGCAACATGTATAGATCGTGTTTATTGTTCCATTTCTTCAGTAATAATCCCGGAGGGTAATGGTTTTGAAGTTGCCCTTTACAGCAAAATCTATCTGCTGCTGGTTACAATGTAAGAACACCATCTGCTTTCTCAGCCAATACTTCCTAATCACTCATGACCTGTGTTGACCATTTTGCAGAAAAGGATTAGCTAGGTCTGGGTAGTTTAGCTTGATTCAGAGGCTGGTATTTTTAAAAAGACACCTTCCTAAACATCACCCCATAAGAACGTTTTTTAATAAGCCTTGATGGCGGTACACTTTATTGGAATCTGTGGTTGAAAAATGTTTTAAAGCCCAAAGACATGTAATGCCCCGACTTCTCCACCAGAATGTGCAGCTTTTAACCCTTTCAATGTTGACTACTGTCAAGCTGAATGTGTGCAAGGGGAGCACAAAGTCCCACAGATGCACTGATAGCAGAATCAGACTGGCCATATCTGTGCCACAGTGCTGAGCTATCTGCACGGAAGCACACACCCTAAAGAGGAACTGCAATCCCAGTTTCTCAGAAAAGGTTATTTAATCTCGGTAAAAAAATAAATTAATCGACTATATCGCAAAATTTTACAAATTCCAAATTAAGCACAAGATCGGAAACGCAGAATGTGGAACTGCAAATTTAATCTGATTTGTGATGTTAATTGGTTGTTTTCCACATTACAATGTACATTTTATTTTCATAGTTCCAAGTAGGGAGCTGCATCAGCATGCGTAGGCTGCAAAGGAACAAGTAAAGGTTTATTCCATGCTGAAAAAAAAAAAGAAAAGAAACGCAACGTTTCGGCTGTGGAGCCTTCTTCAGGTCACCTTGTGTTGAGTGTCATGTTGTGTTTCTTTTTTTCTCTTTTCAGCATGGAATGAAGCTTTACTTGTTCCTTTGCATTTTACTTTCATTGTGGTTTGAAATGCACTCATCAATGCTGATTCTTTCTAACCCCGAAATATAAAAATAGCCTTGCAGTTCCCCTTTAAAGTGTCTTTGGATTGGAAGAGAAACTTGTCAGAGGAATTTGACACCGAAATAACACCCCAGGAAGGGTGTTATTTGTAAAATACATTGCAGGGCTGGAAAGCAGATACTGTGGGAGGGACACAATTCTTAGATGTTTCTTTATCAAATTAGCATCTCACCAGAAAATGGTTGGAACTGGTTCACAGAGTTCCAAATCCTAGCCTTTTCTCTTCAATCAAATTTAAAAAAATAACAGTAATGTACCACTTGATTTCAGTTTTATACTTTTTTTACTCTCATTGTACAGTATATGCAATAAATATTCAACAATATGCATATATTTGTGAGCTCTTTACATATTTCAAAGGTAAATACAGCCCAATTAAAAAAATATGTTGTATGCATATAGTAAATACAGTAAATCTATTAAATAAAATTAAATTATTTACAGGAGATAAGATGACACATGGAGAGCTGCACCTTATAATAATAACAGATGATCCCAGTAACTGTGGTGATAATCTGGATAATTTTATAGAACACGGCGCACTGAGAATCTATTACTCAGCAACATGAAGAGATAAAGTGAAGATTTTTTCTGGTACAATGCCCTCTACTGGACTCTAAGTATCATGTCAATCTTATTATCTTTATTTCTATTATTAATGTTGTTTTTACTGTGACTACTGTTTTTGTTGTAGCAAAAGGAAAATTCGAATTTGCGTGAAATATTACCTTGATATAGCCAGGGCTGTGACTGCAGGATTATTTCTGTAGCGTTTACGAGAAGCCATCTGGCTCCTGTTCAGCTCACGACAGAGAACAAGGTGCTTCTCCCACTCTTTACCTGATGTGTTAGAAAACAAAGACGAGCAAGAATTAGAAGCTGCTTTTATTTATGGTCAGCATGTTGTTAAATTGAGAAAAATACATCTAATATAAGCCTTAGCTGTTACAAGAGGGGTTGTCCCAATTTAATTTGTACATTGTGATACTTATATGCGCTGACGCAGTGCTGTAACCAATGTGTGCTAAATTGGATTTGGGTATTATTGCTTTCTAAATTGCATGCCTAGTTCAGCAGAATTGCTCATCAGTGTTTACTGGCTTTATGTTTAATAACTTGCCCCACAATCCCTTGCAGCTAGGCTTAATGCTGTGTACAACTGGCACAAACATTATGAACTTTTATTCAAATCCCTTGCACAATCAAACTTACAGCTCAACACTTAAAAATCAGAATCATACTTAAGTGCAGATTTCATTAAACTCATAAGCAGCTTTGCAGCAAGAGAAAACTTTTTTAATCCTGTTTTTCATATACCTAACGCTTCAATCAGAATAACCTAAAATGTATAGAATCATAAGCCTGTTCTTGCAATTTTCAATTCATATCTGTATCTTCTTTTCTTGTTCCTTGTTTCTTGAGTACTAAAGTAGATTGAAAATGTGTTTCATTTAATATTCAAGCTTAAACATTTTTTTGGGGGGAAAAAAAATCCTTGAAAATGTGTATAATCAACAAACTTCTGTACTGTTACTTCAACACCTGAGAAGAGGGTACACTGGTACTTATAAAGTTTTAGACTTGCATGAATGTCACAAGCTGCCAAATAATGAAGCAGTTCTACATATCAGAGGATACAGTCCTGCAGGAGCTCCCAGAAATCGCTGGGACAGTCACCAGCAATTGCAACATGTCAGAAGGAAGAAAGATGTTAGGAATAATGGAAAAAGGAGAAACGGTCTCTGATAACTCTGGTCCCTAGCCACAGTTAATGTGAAGTATATTAATGTGACCTCTCTCCTCTGGAGCTGAAGCCGGTGAGTGCCCTGGAGAGGGTGCCTGGAGATGATGTGCTGGTAATTGTGCTTTCACATATTCAGTCTTCCATAACTATATGGGGAACAAAATTCAAACATAATTCACCCGAGAGATAAAATCATAAATCAAATACACAGGCTGCTGATGTAGGTGGCCAGTTTGATGCCTAATTTAGAAACCTTTTCGATGTAATAACTGCATTTAAATAACTGCATTTCAACTGAACTTATGGTATTACCTGTATATTATGTTATATAATCTAGTTCCCATATATCAATATGCATTTAAACATAAGCTTGACAAACTATACTGTAATTGCCAATATATTTTCTTTATAAGTTTCTGCAGTAGTATCGGGCTGGAGGTATTGGACAGTTTTCTGAAAAATTACAATAGCAAAAAGATAAATTAAAAAGGCCGCTGTAGATTCCTTTCAAATGGGCTTTCTCTTCATGTCACAAATGAAGAGATTTTACTGCCACAGTGCCAATGTCTTGTAACCAGAAACTTCATGCTTCATCCAATATGCACTAGGGTTACAAACAGCATCAGGTACTGAAAAGTAATTCCATGTTCAGTTATCATGTCTTGCAATTGCTAGTTGAATATTTTATCTGTGAAGGCGTTCACAGTTTGTAGTTGATCCCAGCCCGAAAGGAGACCTTTCTCTTGATATCAGGTCAAACAGGAACTATTTAATTGCCAAGGGAAGAACTGAGTGCTCTCCTTTCCAATGACAAGCTTCAACAAAAGCCCTGCCGCAACATATTTCAGTTTTCCGCTGTGATTCCCCAGTCCAGCTCTTACCCGTACAATCCCATCAGCACAGCCAGTCACTATGACATTTCTGGAGTCCCACTCGTTCCTCTGTGTAAAGCAACAGCACAGAATCCCCCCCTCCGGCTCGCAGATGGAGTTGATCCAGGACAGGAGCTGCCCCCTCGGAGTCCAAAGGTAAAGATACGTCCCTGCACAGGACACAATCTCACCCTGTGCAAGGAGGAGGTCACATTAATGTGTCATTCTTGATATGATGATAAAGAAGAAATTCACAATCTAATACAATATCTAACTCTATAATTCCAGATCCCTCACGTTGATCAACAAACCAATGCACACTTGTGAGTTGGGCCCAGTTTGGTGTGAACTGATTTTTCAGTTACCCAGAAACACTCTAGACCCCCCCGCCCCGTTGTAAATGTTTATTGACTAGTGGCCATATGTCGGCTAAGGTTTTAAATGGATGAGATCCTTACAGTTAAATCGTTGATGGCCACCGTCGACAGCCCTGCACTGTGTCCTGGCAGCTGAGTGACGTAGCTGAGCTCCTCAAAGTCCCACACAATGCACGTCTTGTCCAGCGACCCACTGACAATAACACCGAAAGGCACTGAGACAGCCAGGCAGGTCACTGCATCTGTGTGTCCATACAGAGTCTGAGAACACAAGGGCAGAAACATGAAGATTTAACTTTGATCAATAAGTTTGGAACCTGGCAGCCAAGGACGTGTGACATGTAGCGAGGACGCGTTCATAATGGGGGACTTTAATTTTCTTCACGTGGACTGGGACAGACCAGCAGGGAGCACAAATGGCGACATTGAAATGGCTGGCATGGCGAATGATGGCTTTGTTCCCAGCTTGTCAGAGCACAGCCTAAGGGAAGGTGCCTGCCTGAATCTGCTCTTGCCAAGTAGCCCAGACAGAGTCAGAAAGGTAGAAGAGAGCGAATCATTGGGAAGTTGGGACCATTGACCCTTTCACCACCTTTACAATACAATAGATCATCGAACCCTTCAACTTATAATATTCTGACTTCCAACATATCTCATTAAACACGTACCATACTAAATGTAATATTTTGTACCCGGCACTAAACAAGCTAAAATAATGTGTGCTGTACAGCACTGTTTCTGCAATATTGTACTTTAGTATTTGATTTTTGTGTAGTAAGTAACCAATGAGTAATTCATAATCTATGTACAATATTTTAAATAGCAAACAAATTCCAAATGCTAAAAAAAACATGTACACAACACATCAGGACTTCAGCTCCCTGGAAAAGTGTGCATTTTTAAAAAGGTTTATTTACATTGTAGTGGAATTTCTGCAAGGAAAAACCTTGATCTCAGAGTGTCATCTCAGAAGACATTACTCTTTCAATATCCATGAAACAGGATATTAAATAGAACTGAAGATATGTAACATTAGGGAACACTGTAGATCAACTCTCAGTTCCTTACACTGAGAATGTTGTGTTGAAATCTATTTCATTAAGAGATGATACTATCAATGCATATCAAAAGTTTCAAGTCATGTATTTATTACATTTTTAGAATGTTTTAGAAAGATTTAACGCATGTTAACATACATGCCAGTAATGAAAAGTAAGGGTCTGTTTCCACCAGCCCACAAATTACCTTGTCAGCAAGAAAGACAATTTCCATCCTTCAAATGAAGATGCTTCCAAGACAAAAGGGTTGGAAGGGAACGCCAGAGAAACCGACCTGTTTTAACTTCATGTGTTTGAGGCTGTTCTTGCTGAGCGCCACGTCCCACACGCAGACGACAGTGCTGCTGCCCGCGGTGAGGAGCACACTCTGAGTAGGCCAGGCAGCACACAGGCACTCCCCCCAGTCTGTCGGGCTCTCGCTGATGGCAAAGACCTGTCAAGAGAGCAGGGAAGACAACATTGCACATATTGCAAGCACTGGAGCACACTACCCATTAACAGGGCAGCAGTAGTCAGGGCTCTGGACTCCAAAGGGTTTCGAATTCCAGGAGGTGTGCTGCTGTTGCACTCTTGAGTAAGGTGCTCCAGTAAATGAGAGGCTGTATGAAAGTGCTTCTACGGAATTTGTTCTCAAGTGACTAGTGTTTAAATGACAGATTAATGCAAAAATCTTGCATTAAAACAAAACACCATTTTTTGGTGTTCAAAACAAGACAGGAATCATTGTATCTGAATGTAGAAAAGTTGCTCTGCCACTGTCACTTTCCAATACTTTTGGCCAATACTGGCACGGCAACAGTTACGTCCATTTATAAGAGTGAGATCCCCAAATATCAAAGCTCCTTTAGCTGGACCAAAAGAGACAGTGCTCTCTTAGCTCGGATTCTTCTTGTAGGAACCTGATGATATTATGTTATCTTGGTCTGAGGCTAGACAACACAAGATGCAGTACAATATGTTTCCTGTGTTTTAGATTTCAAATCAGTATCAGAACAAACGCTGAGCTAAAGATAAGCTTCCCGCGTAAAGAGCAGAGGCACCTTTTCTGAAACAACGCTCCCAAAAGCGCAGGTGTTGTCATTAAACCCCCAGGCGAAGAAGATGTTCCCAAGCGTTGGCATGAGGAGCTTGTTCTTCTCCACGGCAAGCAGCTCTTTCTCTCCGCAGACGATGTGTCCCACTGGGCCCTTGATCAGTTCTGAACGGCACAGGGGGGATAACGGACTGTGATCAGCTGCCATTTCTAACACCAATGAAAAATTGTTCGCAACAAAGGGCTCATTGAGCAAGGTTATGAAGAGGAGAGAAAGTGACTATGCTGCCCCAGAGTTTACACTACTACAAACCTGGCCACAGTTCTTTCCACAAAGAGGAAAGTGTCGCAACTGAATGCATTCTAAGGTTGTGACAGCCTTTGTCCATCTGCTTAAGGCAGATTTTTGACGATTGGTGGCAAACTGAGCGTCGTCCCCAAGAAGGACGGCCAGGAGCTCGGCAGCACATTGGTCACAAGCAGCCCGATCCTCTCTCACAGAGGGGAAGAGTACAGCCTGAGTACACCTGGGCAGAGACATGGGCAGAGGCCTGAGCTCGCTCTTCGCATGGTGCCAACTACCTTGATGTACCAGCTTCCAGTGGATTTGCTGGTGATAAAGGGGACTTCGCGAAACAGGAAGCAAATTCCAGTTTGCCTGGAATGTATTAAGTAAACAGTTCATAACAGGCCTCTCCGAAGCCTGAACGTGCCTATCAGAAAACAACAGCAAGAAGCAGATTTGAGCAATGAGATAAAACGCAGTGCTCCCATTCAGTTCATTACCGTAATTGCAACTAAATAATTGAGCTACTGAGGCGTAAACACCACAAAATCAATTTTTTCCACTACAGACTTGGGGTGATTAAGCACTGTCCCAGCTTACAGTTTGCACAGGAACCCAAAAGCTCTGATTGCCGTGCAGGTTTATCTGCCTATTTGACTGAGTGATGGACTGAAATGTAGCATGGAGACGAGTACCCACAGAGCTGAAAGAAATTCATCTCATTTTCAGGAGAAATCCTTCTGGGATATTCAGATTATTAAATAAGCATCAGTTGCGGCATCATCAAGATAGTTCTAACAAATAGGATGCCTGCTCTCTCTGCCTAGGAAAACGATCCCGTAAAAAGTCTAGCCAGCATCTTCTCTTGCTTTGCTATTGCTCCCCATGGGCTGTGCTGCATCTTAGATATAATAATTGAGAAAAGGGATAAAATATAACGGTGACAAAGAATGATTAAGCACTAGTGGGTTCTTCGCTTGCATTTATTTCTGGAAATAATAACAGCAGAGCCCCGTTTCTGCGGAATACCTTTCAGAGGCTGGAGAGAGGGCTTCAGCTTGTCGAGGCCGAGGAAGAAGGGTTGCGTCTGTGTGGACCCAGGCACCTCTCTGGTGGAGGAGCCCTTCGGCTGCCCAGCGCGCGGAGGATGAGGCTTGGTGAAAAGCTGAAGGCCAAGCAATTGTCTTTATCAGTATTTATCACGGGATCACTGCCTCGCTGACCGCAACGGATGAAGACAGATGGCAGTGTTTCGTGTAACGTAATCTATTATTTAACACAAGGTAAAAATTTAGCTAAACATGGTCAACAGGAACGGTCTGCTTATTAGCACTGAAAAGCATTACTGTAACGACTGCGAAGAGACAATATTCTGCTGCACTCACAGTAAAGGAGCTGCCACAGAGGCTTAACTTAATGCCATTACATGTTGTGTTTCGCACGGCGCGAAAAATCACAATAACAGCAAGAATGATGACAATGGAACTAGTGTTTTTTTAAAGTGTGCGAATACAATTAAAGACATGCGTTAAGTAGGTTTGTCTGATTGGTTCCTAACAGGGTGGATATGTCATCACAGGAAAGATGGAGTCTTGGGTACAAAGGAAAAAGTGAAATAATAATAGCGACAGGGGAACAACAACGTTGTATTGATGAGTGTTTCACTCCAGGATTCTCAGTGATTCGATGAGCAGGCAGTGGCGTGTGTCCTCATAGCATTTGTACACCACTGACTACGCAGACATCTGACTGGTCAATAAGGGAAGACGTTACTTTTCACCAATCCTGAGACGCATCGGAAAAAAAACCAAACCAAAGGTGTTGCTACCTGCTTCGGTATTTGTCCGAAGTTACTGACGAAGCCAAGGATGGTGCTCTTCTTTAGTGGGTCTTTCATGCTCTCCGCATCCAGCCTCTCGGCATAGAAGTAGGGGTGGAAGGTGTTGACCGATTCCACGGCGCTGGGACCCTGCTGCTTGTAGCCAAAGATCAGGTCAATCCAGTGGTGCAGGTGGGCACTGACGTAGTTGCTCTCCAAAGCCTGAAAGCACACGATCCACCAGCTGCTTCAGTCACGGCACAGACACATTTCTTTGATGATATTGCTGTGGAGGAGTATTTCACTCATTTAAATGGCACCTGACGTTATGTAAACATATACCGTAGATTTTATGTTCAACACAGTGTCCCACTAGCTCGGTTCAGTTTTGTTTGTCATACGCACAAGTGCAATGAAATGCTTAGTTGCATGTATGCTCTGATACAAAGACATGAAGGAATCACCTAAAACCTAAACACAGAACAGCAGCAACAACAAGTTAAATCACATACAACTTAAAAAAAAAAACAAGTTGGACAAGCAGTGCGAGAAGAGAAAAAAAAAACATCAGTGTGAGCCAGTGGTCGGGGTAGAGTTCAGTAATCTGACAGCTGGCAGGACGAAACGGTCTCTGAATCTGGAGGTTCGTGGTTTTATGCTCCTATAATGCTTACCAGAGGGAAGGGGACAGAAAAGTGAGAAACCAGAATGATTTACACTACAGGATTCAATACAATGGCTTGCTGTCACGGAGGTCAGTGCTGCAGCCTGACATCTCTGGGGTCCCAGGTTCGATGCTTGTACACTATGCTTTCAGGGCAGGCTCCGAGCAGCCAGGGCCCTGACCTCTAACATGTGGCTTTGAGGTAATGGTTTAAAAAAAGACTCTTCAAGTGTGTAAATGGGGCGAATGCTCAGCTGCAATGACAGGAACCAAGTTCACTCTCACCTCACGCTGCCCTATCGTTCCTGAAGGCTTTTCCCGAACACCATGAATTCCCCAAGGAACCCTCTCTTCACCTCAATCATCCCCTCTGCACCCCAACCCCACCAGTGCAGCTGTTCCTCCCTTCACTCTCTGCATGGGGGCCTAGCCTCCTGTCAGGCCTAGAGACTCCGATATAACAGCTTATATATGGAAGCACTAACAAATCAACCACATGAACTAATACAGGGATAACGTCAGGACTCCACTATCAGACTCAGAGAGGGGATCACATAGTTATGGATTTCTGGACTTGTCCAGTTTCTGACAAACACATTGACCACAACGTCAAAGCAAAGACAGGACAATATACAGTAAGAGCATTCCAAATCAAATGCTACAAAGAAAGAAATCTAGCCATTTGGCATCCCCAGACTCAAGCATAGCAACTATTTCATGTGAAACTGGTATTCTAGTACAAGCTTCTCATCTAATCTCTCAGTGAAAAACTGCTGTCTACAGATGTTATCATTTACCCAGCTAACAAACATTAATCTTTTCCGTTAATTTTAAAAGGAAAACAGAAGGAAACAATTCCTTCACTGTTTAAAAAAATTAAAATTTTTACCTTGTTTTCTCAGAACTGGGAATGATATACGTTTCTTTGTTAGACTGCTAATTGATAAAGCACAGCCTAAATACACCTTCGGGGATACACTATGAAAACAAAAGGTATTCTTTTCAATAAGCACCCTTAGTAATGGAGTTATGAGATACTATAGATATTGCGCTCCCTCAGAACTGCTGTATTATCTTTTAATGACTTCTAATGGCTTCAAACAGAATAATGGGCGTCCTACCAAGAAAACAACAATATCTATTTTAATGAAAATAGCTTTGTAGAAATCTTTAACCCTTTAATATCATAAAGTCCTCAACTGGAGATTTACAAACTATTGCTTCCCTATCAATTCTGAAGCAAACTTTGACGTGGAAAACTATTCTCATTTCACGTGACAAAGAAGAATCTCTAAGACTTTTTTTTTCCAGTTTGAGACCTAAATACAGATTTTGACTGTGTCAAGGAGAGACGGTACTTGGATGAAAAATAACGTCTTAATTCAAAAATACTTTCTCATTATCGTCACGTTGGCACACAACGGAGAGCAGAACACACACATAAAGATTCCCACTCTCAATCACTGGGCTTTCTGAGTGATTAAATAGAAAGTATTCAAGTGAAATGCACTGCCCCTTCTCACGTCACGAAAACAGTGCCTGAGGTGGCCAAGGTACTCTCCTGTAGTGAAAGAAACAGTCAGCAGCATTCAGCAACTCAATCAGCGGTCATCAGCGGCGTTGCGGAAAACTCTGGAATGAGGAGCAAGGAAGAGGTGCATGCTGGAAAGGACCCTAACCTCCCTGTGCAGCCGGATGAATTCCTGGGGATCCCCTTTCGCCCAGGGGGGCAACTTCACATCCCCAAGAGAGGTCCCATCTTGCATGCAGCCTGAAATGACACGGGAATATGAAGTCTTCTGGCTGAAGCAGACATACAGTGTTAGAAGATCTGAGCTGTCAAATGAATCACTGTAAACAAGCTGGAACTAGATCAGCGCTCTTCACCCCTGGTCCCCGACAGGCGCAGCCCTCCAGGGTTTACATGGAACTCAAACTTGAGTAACAAACTTGGAAACTGTTGCCACTGAGGCGACTGAAGTCAATAGCCGATTCCATCAGGTCGTTGAGCTTGAGGTGTGGCTCTCCAGGACCGAAAGGGAGGCTTGCAGAAGGAGATGACAAGGTCAGATTTTTCATTTGGCTTTGTTGTTTTAATTAAAAATGTATGTTTTTGATTTGATCGTTTGCAGTAAAAAGATTACCTACATTAAATAAAAATAATATATACATAGTAAATGTTGTTAGTGCTACAAATCACTGGCAATTTCCCTCACAGGATCAATAAAGTATCTGCCTATGTCGTTGTTTTTTATTTAGGACACCAAACTCACCCAGCTCAAAGCCATTGGAGTTGACGAGAAAATCCGGCAGGTAGAAGAACTCGGGGGTGAGCTCTCGGACGTCGCTCATGTTGTCTCTGGAGGCCGACTCCCACTCTTTCTTCACACTGTGGAACATCCTGTCCGCCACGTCGAGGCTCCCCCCCTGCAACACAGGAGGCAACATCCCTTCATCCCCAGCAGACCCCTGCTGGGACCCCACATGGGTGAGCCTCACACTCCCCCACACTCGCAGATCTTTTACACTAAAGGCGTGTGCACTGCCCAGAACAATCAGGGAAAAAGCCAGACTTGTTTTGTTTTTTTTTCAGTTACTTTTTGATGGAGGGAAGTGTTTTGCTGTGAGAAATGTTACTTGGGAATTTCACTTGGAAAAGGAACCCGGAGCACTGCTGAAGAACCACACAGAAAGGCAAAAGTCAATAAATCAGACCGCGCTATTTTTTTTTTCTCTGCAGAATATTAAATACATTATACATTTAATCGCGGATCACTGTATCTGCCAAGGGCTGATTGAAGCTTTTCATTTTTTGCAGGTTTTATAAATCCTGATAGTAATCTCCTGAGAAGCACTATAATTTGCAGTAAAAAGATTACCTATATTAAATAAAAATAATATATACATAGTAAATGTTGTTAGTGCTACAAATCAAGTTAAAGATATTACAGCAAAGAGGAATGTGATTCTTCTGCAGCCTAATACATTGTGGTGCAGCTAATATCTTTATTGTTTTATGCAGATTATTAAATATGCATGACATTTTATTTTAATCAATTGGATCGCACTGTATAAATCTAATACTTTTAAAAGAGGAAACCTGATTTTTATATGCTTTTGATGCTAATAAATTTATTTGCATATATATTGAAATCATGTTTTTTTTCACAACAAATAAAAGAAGGGATTTATAAAGAACCGAAGGAGTGCTGGATTCAGTTCATAAGAAAGATGAAGTGGCAGATATTTAATCTAAAAGGGTTATTTTCACAATTATGTTTCATCAATGAAATCTATTAAAAAATCGTTTTTTTTTGTACTGCTGCAACTGTATTGTGCTTCTCTCTTCTGAAAACTCTCCAAATGTCTCTTTTACCAGCATCTGTTTATTTCAGTTTCTTCACTGCTTTTTTGCTTTATTAGACAAATAACACAAGGACAAAGATTCCAGGTAGCTGATGCACAGAGGCATTATAACTGCATTATTTGGACAGCCCATCCCCCAAGAGAGTGCAGTGCCTTTCCACATCAGTTGCATTTCCTAACAGTTAAGCTTGCTAAATCTCAAATTCCAAATTTGGCAGGTATTCTAAACCTACAACAATGCTACCGTCTTTTCTAAAACCAGACAGGCTATAAACAGAAGTTTAAATCAAACAAAAAAATGTCCTTATGACCCCTCATGACCCCTGCCGAACGGTTCCCATGAGCGATCGTACCTGGAGAGACAGGGAAATCTGAGTGAAGGGCTCCATGCGCACCAGAAAGGAGGCCACAATGATTGCAGAGGAGTAAAATGTGCAGTAGTGACACTGTGCCGACAAGTCCCCTGAAACAGAGACAGAACGTCATACAGACTGCTGCCCAGATGTCAGACTCGTGTCCTGCTGGACTGCAAACGCTGCAGGAACATGGACCCCAGGGCACTGGAGTGTGGGGTTTAATTTACTCCTCTTCTCAATTCCTTGTAAAACTCATTCTTGCATTCAGGGAATCTTTTTTTTTTTGGGGGGGGGGGTTCATGCTGCTTGGAGAATTATGAAGCATCGTCTCAAGTACCAGTGGGGTTGTTTGTGTCTGCCTAACCACCAGCACACGTGACAGGCCGGCCCACGGGGGATCAAAACCATTGAAACGGCTCACCGTCGTTGTTTTCAACCTCATTATATCGCTGAATAAACTTCTGCTTCCTTTTGTCAGTCTGGGCTCCCATGGGCTTGGTCAGGTCTCGGAAGGTGCCGGGGCGAGACAGATCCAGGTTCTGCAGAAGGAGGGGAACGTGTTTCAGAGTCCGCGGCGCAGAGCGAGGCTGCGGCCCCTGCAGGCGCTGCTGTGCCGCTCCCCCCCTCACCTCCGAGTCATAGTCCGCGAGCACCCAGGGGAACACGGGGTACTGCATCAGGTCATTGTAGGTGCGTCCCGCAGAGGAGTTCAGGTGCATGAGGTATTCAAAGTTACTGATCTCCCCTTTCTGTGAGCAATAAAAGAAGAAACAAAATCGTATTCTTTCCGCACTGTAAGGACACGAGACGTGAGGAAGGGGTACAAAACAGCTAGGCCACACTGCATGTTCTGCTCTCATATGGTAGATGGCAGCTAATTGTTCTCGCTCATCTGCTTCTGCTTCAGTAGCATCCACCCGCACCCCTTTGTGCGAAGAAGCCCTGCTCCCCGGCGTAACCACGCTTCCTCTTCGGGGTGCAACAGCCCAGCACGTTGACTTTGCAGATCAGGTGTCGTACCTGCCACTTGTGAAGCACCATCTTCTCTCCCACTGCGTTCCGTCTGGAAAGAGATAATACACTTTTTTTTTTTGCACTATGAATAAGATGCAAGCGTTCAGGCATCTAAATGCTGACTGCTGGAATGTCAGACCCCATTTGAGGCACACAGTGATAAAGATGAGTGAATGCACAGTTCCGACTTTCGGGATCCATGACATCATCGTATGCCCATGGAAAGATAGCTTCAAGATGACTAAGATGACTGTTCAATAATTTAATCCATAGTATACCATGTTGTATTGACGTCTTTTTATTTCTAAACAGTTGCTGATTCCCAGTATTTCTCATTATATAGATTCATAAAATGAAAAGACTAACAATTAAAGGGAGAGGAATGCTGATTTTAATACACGACACTTTAGAACACAGTTAAGAGGATTACATCACAACACTCAGTTCCATTGCTAGTTGCATAGCAACTAGCAAGAAGTAAATGAATATTCTAAATCAGTAACACAGAACTACCAGAGCAGGGCTGTGACACATCTAAAGCAGAATGAACAGCACATTTAATGAACAGGTAAATGTGATAGATTTGTCAACTTGGTGGGGGGGGAGAGAAAATAAGTCTACAGTAATTTCATTTTCCTTTTCCAACAGAACTAAACATTTTTGGAATGCAGTGCAATCCCACCTACCGTACTGTATGATAATTGTTGAGTCATTCCACAAATATCCAAATATCTATTGAGCCACAGGCTATTATGTTTAATTCTATAATTTAATTCTGCAAATTTGTTTTTTACAAAACATGTCCATGTTTTATGCGTGTGTGCTTTTGGTATGAGGTGGCGAGAAAATTGTGGAGGAAGTGGCTACAGTATCACTGGTCTTAGGTGAGGTGCAGTACAATGCCTGAAGTTGCTGCTTTAAATACATTTCCTAACACATTGAGAAAACACCTACAGTCAAAGTAAACTAGTGAGAGAGTAGAAGAACAAAATAGCTTTGAGCTCGGAGAGTGCATTCATTACATGAAAGCCCATGGACAAGTAATGAGCACTGTAAGAGCAGCGCAGATAAAACAGCCAAGTGTGTTTCGCGAACTGAAGAAGACAATGACAAGGCACCGCAAATGCTAAATAAACGAAGGCTGTTGTGAAAACACAGCTTTTGAAGCCATTCAAAGATGGAAACTTGCTGTTTCCATTACGCCCTGGGCCCCATCTTACCTGGCTACATTATGGCTCACCTGCTGAGCAAACCTGCAGGAGGTCTGAGCCATGCTGTTGCCCAGGTGTGGTCATCACACCCCTGCTATCATCTGCCTGCCGCTCTCCAGACCATTCAGTCAGAGACCTCTGTTTGGGTTGTAGCGGGTCATAATCTTTTTTTAATGGAAAGCAAATCCTGTGTGCACTGAACTGATAACAGCAGCGTTCTTTTTTTTATAAACAATAGGCACTGGCAAAATTTAACAGATGGTATTTTTTTTTTTGCACAGATTAACAGAGGGACTGTTATTAGAATCAGTGTTCAATTAAAATGATAAATGTTGTATTACCTAGCAACCACAGAACATGTACTATAGTATTACTCCTGACGAGGGTAGGCACAATACAAATAAACACAGGGGTATGTTTTCTGTTTCTAGGTTCTTGAAATTTAGGAGCAAATAAGGATCAGTCTTCCAAGAGAGGCAGAAAGAGAGACAGTCCTTCAGGAAGTACTGTCTGAAACACTCATCAACAGGTACCCATTGTACCACAGAATGGCTGCCGTGTGTTAATGGTGCATAAAGTGCTTCCCCTCCTATATACAGTATGCAGTGGTTTGGAATCCTCTGAGATGTTACTTATAAATGCAATTAATGATTAATAAATGTTATTAAAATTATGATGTACTGAAAGACAATTACCCTCTAAAGGTACTGAACGTCATTTAACGTTTTGGTTATTTGCAGTAGTTCGTAAATGCTCGTCATTACAAACGTAATAACGACAAACGTGTAAATACACGACTCCTGAATTTTGTAGCCATGTTAACTGAAGATGAAATATTGTAATACAGAATTTAGTCTTTAAAGAAGGGTTGTAGGAAGTGATTAAAATGTTTCTTACTTTATATAACTGATTTCTCAGTATCTACATGTACTGCTTTTAAAATTGCACACTTCTACATGTAAGCCAAAAAAAGAGAATCAGTTCTTTTTCAAGAGCCCTGGACTCTCCTTCACAACCACCCAGCACTGTATAGAAGACCTGAGTCACTGTTCCTGGCTCTCCGTTCTCTACAGCACTGGCCTTATAATATTACGTCTTTCCGAGGCAATCTCTTAAACTGAAACCTTAAACCAGACCTCGAATTTCCTTCAAAGGAACATGTTTCAACTTGTTCAGCTCATGCTCCAGTGTTCATTGTTTGTCAGTAAGGCAAGCAGGTTTCCTCCCTAACAACTGAATAACAGGTGACAATCCAAACACTCAGGAACCAAGTTCTGGAACATAAATTCTGAGTTCATTCTTACTATAACAATATCCTTCTTCTGTTGCATGCAGTGATCTTTATACAACATTTACAACTCAGTGTTTCACATGATGGTACAGTATGTGTCAGAATGACACAAATAAAGGCAAATCGCCTGGTGCAGCAGAGGCCTGAAACAACTACCAAAGATTACAAACACAGCCACAGAACAGAAAGGCGTGACTGAAACCCTCTTTAAGAAAAAAAAAGATCCATTTTAAAGCACAGCCTGTTATGTGGAGTAAAGACAGCGCTGTTATATACAGTAGAGTTTCACCCCTGTGTGCCTCTCAGTCCATGAATTTTAATTACCTCACTGTGGACTCACACTCACTACTCTTTTTTAATCTGTACTATTTTTACAACGCTACTGCTCTTTTTCAAGATAGTATTTTTGTTTGGGAAATGATTGTGAGAAAGCTTATAATACCTAGCCCACTAAAACAAAGAGCCATCAATCCTCTTTCCCCTGTGTTGGGCACTAACATTTCAATAAACTCCAGGCACCACAGATTGCAGTTGCTTAGTAACAAAGTTAAACAAGACAGGGAACAGAAGTTAAGCCAGTCTGGCTTTTCAGTGCCTGCACTCCATCTGGGAGACTGGCTAGGCTGTTTTATCTGACTACTTCCGTACCAATGTAAAACACATTGTGAGCCCTGCATTTGTACCCTGTGGGTTTCATTTGCAAAGTCTTCAGAAGGTCCTAAATTCTAATTCACAGGAAAAGAGATGAAAGAATCTACAACAAAGATGGCCAGATCCCGGGAGCACAACCCACTGCTCTGACTTCAGGGATTGAGCTCTTCACAGTGTGTGCGTGTATTCTCCTGCCTCAAAGATTGCACTGAAACTGCAGCTGGTAAGAGTTTACCGTAACCTTCACTGGATCACAGCTGTCCTCTCGGTGCTTTTGAACGCACATTTTGGGACAATTTAACTTGCATGCCCACAGTTAAAAGTAACAAAGTAGTTTGAATCTCGTGTGTTCGTTAATATGGTGACCGAGACAAGACCACTACTGATTTATCCTGCTTTTAAAGGTTTTAGCATGTACTGAAAGAAACATTTCAGTCGGAAAAAAAAAAAACAAATCCTGGATAAAGAAATATTTTATATTGTTTGCAGTCAAGTGGTACAGTAAATACTGTATATGGTGACTTTGGTGTATTGTTTGCCTTTGCTTTCTTATATTTTGTTTTACAACACCATCAATACTGAGTCTAATCCATGAAAGACGGCGTAGCAACATGTCTCTTTAGGAGAATAAATGTCAATTAAATACATTTACCAATTTTATGATTTCCTGTACCTGCTTGTGCCAACAAAACCTAAACCTAATACTAAAGAAATGACAAACCAGGCACTTCTTTACTCTTTCACTCTGTCTAGAGCCTTCTGTCACCAAGCAGCACAATAAATCAAGAGATAAAATATAATCAATAACATATCTATATATTACAGAAACTGTACTCTACAATTGCATGTTAAACGAACAAATCCATGTGGATGAATCTGTAAATTGCACATGTACGGCAATTGTTTTGTATACCAGATAATCGAAATTAGCTAAACTACATTAGCTTCTCTTAGAGCTCCCCTTCATACTCTTGAATATGATTAATGAGTAGCCAAAGGGCCTGAAGGGCTTATAATAAAGCCTTTCTTTTAAATGGGGAGGTGTGAAATACAAAAACCCATATCACTTCCCAAACCATCATTTATCAAAGGCCTGATTTGACTTCATTCATTTTGACTTGCTTGCATGAAAGAAGCTGGAGATCAATCAGCTGTAACCCATGTTAGTTTTGTGCTTGCAATCAACAGTCATTTGTTTTTGCAAAATTACATTAATTACTTCCCTGCCTATTGTTAGTATTTATTAACATTAATTAGTGAAAGTATTATTTTGGAACATCCCTTCGGGGTGAGACGGGTGAGCGAACAGGACTGTAGACATGACACCTTTTCATTCCTGGAAACCCAGGCTTCACTTCATACAGCTCCCAGGCACGAAGGCACCAACAGCCCTGCCTTCATGCAAACAACAGCAGTGTATCACATTGCTCAGCTCAGGTCTGTACTCCAGCAAACCGGCAGCTGCAACAACTTCATCATCACTGAAGTTCCAGAGCTGTCACGAGGAAACGTGTCACAGTACGAGTTCAGAGTTCAGTATAATTGTCATATGCACAAGCGCAATGAAATGGTTATTTGCATGTATGCTCCAATGCAAAGATAATTAAGGAAACGCCAACTTAGACCCACCACAACAGCAGCAACAACAATGAAGTTAAAAATGCACGTATTGGAGAAAACAATTTCCCTCAGGGGACAATAAATCTTATCTTATCTTATAAACTCTTCTGTCCTCTATGGTCATTTCAGGACAATGGGAAAAGGGAAGAAGTCTGCTGGGCCCAAAGGCAAGAAGATTACCCTGAAAATCGCCAAGAACTCCCTGAAAATGACGATAGACGGCAAGCGCCGCCTCGACCTCAGCAACATGGGGATCACCACCTTCCCCAAGTGCATTCTCAAACTGGCCGACGTGGACGAGCTGGACCTGAGCAGGAACATGTTAAAAAAGATTCCAGACTACATTGACAAGTTCCAGAACCTCCGCTGGCTGGACTTCCACAGCAACCAAATAGAACAGCTTCCGGAAACCATAGGGCAGCTGCAGAACCTCTTTTACTTCAACCTCTGCAACAACAGGCTGACATCCCACACTCTCCCAGCAGAGATCGGCCAGCTGAAGAGCCTGCGGGTCCTCAACCTTGGCATGAACAACATAGAGTGCCTTCCGTCATCTATCGCTGCGCTGAAGGAGCTACAGGAGCTAGGCCTGTTTGACAACAGCTTCACCACACTGCCAGACACAATCTCTAAACTTCCCAAGCTCAAGAAGGTCAATACAAAACGAAACCCTCTGACCAAACCCGGCGACGACAAGGATGCAGACCCCATTAAACGTGTGGAGAGCCTATATTTAATCCACGATAATTCCCTGTGCAAGCCTTGCATGAAAAAGTGCAAAGACGAGAGAGACAGGCTGAATAAGCTCAGGAACTCAGCACCCTCGCAGAAGAAGACCAATTTCTCCGGACTGGTGACTCCAAACTCCACGGCACAGGAAACACAGGCTCTATGGAGGTGAACGGTGTTTACAGCTCTGCGAGGTCATTCAAAGACATGCTGCATATGAACCAAGGCTATTTGTTTTACCCAAGTCTTCCTTCAATTAATTACTATAAACAAATAAATATGGAGAAATATTATACCAAACTCACATTTTTCTTACTTTAGTCATCGGTAACCTGTAATGGACAAAATAATATTAATAATACCCTTACAATTATATGGTGGTTTCCTGGATACTCCACGCAAAGCACATTACAGGTAATGAGGACACCCGTCCACCACCACCACTGTGCAGCATCACATACTGTATGTAGCACCTGGATGATGCACACAGGCTGCACACAGTCGTAAAAGGGCTTCAGCCACAGTTCTGTCCAATTATCTTTCTATTGCCCAGCAGCTGCATTGCCTGAATATACTGAATATTCCTGCACAAACAAACACAGATGCACATGCACACAAGTTATGCCTCCTGAAAGGAGAGAGAAACTGGACAGCCTGCAGAATCCCCACAGGAACACACCGAGAGCACACAGAAGACACCCCAGATGGCAACTTGAACTGCCACACCCCCCTGCAGCCCACAACACGATTTGACTAAACCAAAATCAAGCGGATTTCATGGGAAATCAATTTTCAGGTCAGCTTCAGAACAGATCTACACTTAATGAAACACAAACCAATCATAACTGAAGTGGTGTCAACTGGAGGCAGAATGAAATGGAATAGTACTGTATTCCCGCAAAAGCATTTTGGCACAAATGAATATTAACATACAGTACCAAGCGTACACAATGTAACTTAATTGTCTCGCCTAAAATAATTGGCACTGTAAGTGCTTTCTGGATCTGCAATTCCTGGTTTAAATAAAGACTATTCTGTACCTGCTGCAATCTAAAGAACTGATGTTAATTGCTTTGCAATATATTTAAACAGGCCACTAAATCAAAACAATTCACTCGCCAGTGAGCATTCTTCAGATAAATGAAGGCATGACGTTTAACCTCAGACTAGGAACAAATTTTAGCATTGGGCAGCAGGGGATAACTGTTTACATTTGTAAAGGTTAGTAAAGAGATCATAGTATAAAAATAAAACAAATTTAATTTAAAAATCTCAAAGAGCTTCTATTGGAGAATAAACTGGTACAGCATGTAATTTAAAAACTGTAACTAATTTAAAAACTGGACTTTATGGGGAGCTTCTCTATCAGTGGATCTATCAACTCTATCAGTGGATTAAAATACTTAAATTTCCTACGGAGAGTATCTCTTTTTAATTAATTCCACTGACTTTTGTTACTTTTTGTTTAAAGCCTGTATTTCACTCACAATTCCGTTAACGATAGCAGCTATTTGGTATTCACAGGAAACTCATATGCATCTCCTGAGACAAAGCTATTATAGCTCATAACAAATTATGGATTATGAAATGTAAACTGATTAAGCTCTGTAGCCAATAATAAGCAAAACATTAGACACAATCAGATAACTGAGGTTCAAAGTGATTATGCCAAGCTATGGTAATGTCAGCCCGAGAATCTTTTTACTTCAGTCTTGCATATGATTTACAGTCGAGGTACATTATTTTATTAGATACACATAATGGCTCCCAAAATTAAAAACTGAAGGAGGAGCGAGAGAATGCGTTTTGGACAAACACTGAAATATTAGTTGCAGGGGGCTCACTGTACCCTTGCACACAATTACCAAGTGGGAATGCTAAATTCATTGAATCCTATTGCTGTGATAAAGCATCTGTAGAATGCTCACTGGCTTTCATCAGGTTGGGAGGGAATTTTCTTGTTTTAGCAGTCATGTATCAGTATCAGTATAACGAGTCGGATTGTGATAAACTGTCATGTGTCTCTGAGATTAGGAATGTGAAGTAAATGTACCGCATTGTAAAAGAGTAGATCTTGTCCAGGAATGGGTTCAAGACTTCTAGGAGTCCGCTGTTTCAAATAATTAATGTCTCAGCCATTGGTTTTGGTAGAAATAGATAAATAATCAAAAGACTTAATAGCAGACTTAACTACTACCGAACACATGGCTTGTGTGGCCTCAGATCGGCTGTTTCTATGATGTCTTATAATTAGCTAAACTGATACGACGCTTGGACTGTATTGGCTCTTACCGCAGATTAATAATGGCTTCCGTGACTCCCTTCCCTTTTAATGAAGGAACAGCGGAGCACAACCTGCCGGAAGAGGAAAATCAATCTCACTCTCGGTCTCAGCGCCCTGGCCGGTGACAGCAGAAGCCGCCCGAGCCCCCAGCTTTACCTTTTGTACGCTGTGACGTGCTCTTTGTTCTGAAAAACGAGAAACCGGGACTGTCCGTCCCTCGTGAAGATCTCAAGGGCGTTTTCCTGAAAGAATCCCAAGCAATGAAAACCCACGGTCAACATACGTAGACTTTTGCACCCGCCTGTTTCAAGGCAGATAAGGTACTGTATGAGGAACTATGACAGCCGCCAACAAATGGCAGACAAAGGGGGCAAAATGTATTTCTTTTTCTCCTAGTGATGACAAAGCAATCGCACAATTATTCCCACAGTGCCCAGACTACTGTGTGTGCTAAGAATTTCTAGAGGTGGTCCAACTTCTCAGACAAAAAAGGTACTTCCTGGGGCAGACCCAAACATAATAATCCAGAATACTCCAATGACTGTACTGTAGCTAGGCATTTGCCATGTGAACAGTATCCCTTCTCCCCTGCAAGAAAGACAGTAAACCAGTGCGGAAATGACCCGTGGAGGGATGAAGCAGATTTCCCAGGGCCCTACGGGCTGGATGTGGAAGTGCGTGGTGAGTCAGTCATTTTCAGTCATGGCAGCCTCGCCTCTGGGAATGTTTCCCATCATTCGGCCTCACCTGCAGGAGGAAGCGCCTGAAGAGGGCGTCTTTAATTTCCTCATAAGGATACCTCCTGCAGTCCAGACCCCCTGTGGGTCTGTCCTTGCTGAACATGCTGCGGACGAAGGAATCCCTCACACTGGAAAAAAATAATAAATAAAAAAATATTGTGTGAACCAAAGAGGTTATTCATTTAATCTCCCATGCTTGGCTTGAACCACTGTATTTTCCCCTTTCACATGCTTTATTTCATTAATTAAAAATAGCTACATAAATAAGGCCCTCATTAAAACAATCCATTAATTAAGCACACATCCTTTCAAAGCTCTTCTTCAGCTTAGTCATTTTCTCCTTCCTACTATTAGTGTGCACCCAGGATTGATTCAAAACCAGGCCATCGCGTCAGAGAGTGTGTTTGAACTTAGCTGACAGATGTGTTTCTCATAAAGTAAACCTCAAACACACTGCCAAGATTTCATAACAATATCAATGAGAGGAAATGAAAGGAACGAGCAACAAGACCTTACCTAGAAGGGTGGTGGTTTTTACAATGCACATCCCCCGTCGGCGATAAGATGAAGCTCTCACACACATAAAAATCGGCTTTACCGAATAACAGCACCCCCTCTGTTATTACATGACCTTTAACAACAACCACAGAAAGCTTCAAGTCGACCTAAAACGGAATAAACAATACAGGAAACAGACGTCTAATTATCAGTTTTCAATCTCCAAGCACTAGTCATTTAGAATAAGGCCATTAAAAAGCCCTTTCTGTGACTTTTTTTTTTCCTTGGGCCGTACAGAGCCCTGAATGTCTTTATCTATACAAAGTTATACACTGAAAAAGGCAAGCAGAATGGCAAAGATCTTCTCTGTAGAACAGTAGGCCAAGGTGAGCAGGGTAGCGAGATCTACGGTAAAATGCCTGAGTTATGCTTGGCTGATGTCATTGTTCTTCTTCATTTCAAACAGCAGACCTGCACCTGGCCCCTCCGATCACCAGCCGAGCTGAAACCCCACAGGACCAAAATGCCCAAACCATATGGGGCACCAGCATACTGGCAGCCGGTTTGCAATTAATACAAATCAAATAAACCTTCTTTTCCGCAAACACTTCTTGGCCACAGTGAGAGACCTTGGTGTTTATTACCAGAATTAATCAATGACACACACACACAATGGAAACATGCTAATTGATACAAGTTTCCCAGGAAGTGATCCCCCAGGGACACTTTTATTTTCGAACTTGTTTAAATGCATGCAAAACAGAACCAACAAAAGACACCCTTGAATTGCTATAACGGGGGACTTGTCTAATCATACATTCATTATGGCCCAATGTTGCCCAGTGTTGACCAGCCCGGCCAGCTGATCCAGACAGAAACTATGATCTTCCGCTGAGCGCCTTCCCCCCAAGAAAACAAAACCTTTAAACTGTAATCATACGCCTTGCACCTAACTGCAAATGTAGGGAGTAGGGAGTTGTTAATTAAACTCTTTCTTTTTCCTAACTAATTTTACTCTCTAAACACTTACAGTACATCCCAGATAGAAGAAGTCATTTTCACGTATAATTTCACCAATGTACTGTACTGTACTATGAGTTTTGCTCTGGACCAATCAGTGCAGAAGGACAGCTTTCAGAGACGTCGAATTGGGACGGGACTTTCAGAGGTGGATGAGGACCCATCGCAGGTCCTGGAGTGTCACCCACCCTCTGGTTGTACAGTATGTGTCTTGAGGCTGCAGGGTTTCAATAAAATGCTTCTACAATATGTTGTGCTGATGCTATAACTGTAAGTGTAACCTAGAGGGATCGTATGACCTATGGAAGTATAAAAAGTTTTTTTTTTGTCATATTACTATTTTAAAGCCTTAAGGTAGGCCTGCTAAGCAAGCAGTTAAGATATAAATACAAAAACAGGACTATTAAAAAAATACGAACGAGGGAGCTAAAAAAGGTGAAGATGAAAATATCACATTAGTAAACTGCCGAATGTCACAATCCTAATTAACTCTAAGAGCTGGAAAGTATCAAAGAACACAGCTCGAACTGTGATCACAGTTTACTGAGCAGGAGAGAAACTATTCATCTGACAGTCAGCACAGCAGGACTAAAATGAATACAAGACAGTTGACGTCACCCCCTGCTGATTTTATTAATACTTCTGTCATGTGTACAAAACCATGCCAGTATTTTGCTGTAAATTCCCACTCAACCTGTGGTTTCCTCAAGCACTTACACTCTTGACATCTTTCGTCTTATCTCCTACAGCTCTGTAAAGCTGCACCTACACTGAGTCTCCCTGATTAAAAGGTGTTGCAGAACAGGAAGAGACCTGCATGAGTGCTGATCTCACTAATGCATCATTACAAACCTCACAAATACTACATGTGGCAAACTACTGTATTGTGCCAAATTTGGAGTGGGATACTAGGCACAGACTGTTCAGGTCAATCAATGCCTATCCAACCACTGTCCAGACATGAATTCCCTTTAGAAAGCAATGAATGGAAAAATGGTAAATAACAGCAGTACTGTTTCTTTAACTTGAACATTAACAGCTGTAACAACATGAAAGGTTATTAGAAATATATTTTTGTGTTCTGAGGAAGTGTGATTTTTATCTTACTGTACATACCTGCATTTAAACATGAATTAAATTCTAATTACATTGAAACTAAACCTATTTTAACCATGAAGCAGGTTTAATTATTTCTTCTCCTTCCATTTTTAAAGAAAAAAAAGAAAAAGATCATTATTATATATCACAGGTCATATCTGAAACATTTCCCCTTCAGCCAAACTCCTAAGGACTTCCCTCTGATGATCTTTTATGATTTGTGACAGATTTTTGATGAACTGCTTCTTCAGGTAGCATGTCTTGACGTGATGTCAACTGCACGCTCTGTGCACAGATAGCAAAGTTATACTATGTCAGCACTCTCAGAAATTGAAATATCCCTAGCAAAAGATTCCATCTTATTGTAGAAAACAATTAAGAAGCAAACGGGATGCAGTGTCTCAGTTCCAGGGACAGAGGCAGGGGGAGTGTGCTCAGAAATGAAAGACAGGTGCCCTGCTCCTCGCCGATACTTCAGCAGCTTCAGAAAAATAAAACCCTCAGTTCTGAGAAAGTGAGATGGTAAATGGTTTTGATCATGAAGGAACCGGGCCATTCGAACCCCTTCCCCAGCTAGCTAAATTGCAGCGTCTAGAAACAGCCTGTAGAGAGAGGGGCGTGAAGCAGCGAGCGCCGGGAAAGGGGTTGCTCGTCACCAGTGGGGACACAGCCAGGCGTCCCGCACTGTCCCCCCGCAGGTTCGTCTTCCCCAGCTGCGCGCGCCGGGGCGCTTACCTCTTCTGCCTCCGAGAGCTCCCGCAGGACGAGCTGGGTCTCCAGGCACTGCTCGGAGTAGTCGTCCGAGAGCAGGGAGCTTTCGTTCAGGGAGGGGAAGAACGTGAGCTGGCTGCACTCCAGCCCGCTTTCCGCTGCTTCGTCACCCACTGCACTGAGAATTCTGGGCTCTGGCGCGGCGAATCACACAGGGACAGTTAGCGGCATAGACCTCAACGGGTCTCTTACAGCATGAATGAGTATGGATTTTATTACTACTTATTCATTCACATTGATTACTTTATTATTATTATTTATTATTATTCATACTATTAATATGAATTTTATTTGAGCTTGTGTAGTCTTCAATTGATTTCAGGATTGTGATTTGTACACTATTGCTGCTGAAATGCCCAGTCATTAAAAGTGTAGAGCAAGAGATTTGTGATAACTAGCCTAGGTGAAAAATGACCTTAATTTGCTACATTTATGGTGTACTGAGAGCACCTCAGTGAGACTGTGTGATTTTTAAAACTGAGGGAATGCTGTTTAAATCTGTGTTGAGCATTTGCCTTTTAAAAGAGAGCTGTACCTGTTGCCAGGAGTTCAAAATAAATAAAATTTACTTTAGGCTTCATCTTCAATGAAATAAATTAAGCAATGCATTTTACCTGACTCAGCTTCACCGATTTCCTCTATCCCCTTGTTCTCTTCAATGGGATTACATTTCAGATAAAGTCCTTGGTCAGATACTGAAAACTTTAATAATAATAATAAAGTTAAAATCTTAACTTACTTAACATTAGAATTTTATAATAATAACCAATGAATTATATTCGTGATTTATTTTAAACAAACTTGAAAGCAACAGCAGACATAAAACACCCAAAAAAAAAAAAAAAGGAAAAAAAAAACACCGTAAATTGATTTCTTGAAATCAAGAAAACAATCTAAATTCCACATTAAAAGCTTTAGAGAAAACCCAGGTGTGTTAGTGAGATGTAGCAATGTCTCTCCAATGAACTGGCCCAGGGAGCTACACAGATGTTGTGCTGCAAACAAGAGGCCCTTGTGCTCACCAGGAGTTGAGCAAGAAAGGCCTGTAAATTCAGATTCCAGGTTAAGAGCTGGACTTTATTAATGCAGTAGGAGCTGGACAATTTAGTGAGCAGAAGAACCTTAAATTTCCTATTGCAGGCACTGAGAGTATGTACTCATGTAGAGTGCCCTTAGTTAGCACATAAGCCACGACCAATTCTGCACATTTCAAAGCATTTTCAGTAAACTGACCCGTTAAAACCAAGATTAAACAATAATTTAGTTTAATTCCTTAAGACAATCTAGAGCTGGACAAGTCAGAGTCTGGAAGTCCAGGTGAAATCTCACTGGGAGCCAGGCTGTTGGCCGAGGATATCAGTTAGATGCTAATACTTAAACGTACCTTTAATCTATTTATACGAAGGCAGATTTATTCAAAGAAAGTATACTGTACATTTCTGTTATTTAATAACAATAAGCCTTTGTTTACGAAATGATGTGAATGATGCATAAAAGATCCATTCTGAATATGATTTCCTTAGAAAGATAAAGATATTATTGGACAAAAAATAAACAAAACAGGTGAGACTCACTTTCACCACTTTCTCTGAAGGAGCGAGAGCCTTTCTGCGGATCTTCTGCCTCATTCTCAGGGGCCCCTCAGTGGGGAGCTGTGTCCAGCCCACGGGGAGGAAGAGACCCTCTCTGGGCCCGAACAGGGCCCTCTCCCGCAGAAGCTCGCCCTCAGCCTGCGACCACAGTTTACTCACCCTGCTGCTGTCACAGTGAAGCATCTGTCGAGGACAACAAAGACAATCCACACTCTTGCGCTAATCAGCAGCCGGCGTGTCGGAGATGCTGATAGAATGTAACATATCCAGGCAGGTGGAGAAATTAATGAAAACGAGCTCCGACAGAACCTGTATGTGATTCTTCAAGAGGGCTTCGAACATCTCCTGCCCGGTCTTCCTGTAGGCCTCCACACAAGCCAAATATGCCTGGAAACAAGGAAAACGTCGTCAGCGGAGTCGCACAAACCTGCACAGGTGGGGAAGCGTGGGCAGATGTGTCCAGTTTGACCCCTAACACACCATTTGAACACTCCCATCAGAACTCCAGCACTTTCTGAAGGGTGAAACACAGTTCATCCTTCTTTTTTTAACTCACATCTGTTTGAGCTTTTGAAATGTTGAGTAAATTTGCACACCGGAGTGAAAAGATATTAAAAAACAAAAATGAAACCCTGAAGATGTTGAAATAGGGCCTGAAAAAGACAAAGATGAAATATAAATGATATTTTATAGGTGAATATCCTACTGGCTACAGTGGGTACAATAAAACCTGAGTCTAAGCACAATGGATTTCAGTGTGATATACAGTAATTAAGTTAAACTACAATTTCTACACCGTGCAGTGTTGCTACTGGCGGTTTGCCAGAGTTGATGCCCTGCTGATACATTATATTGATAGGCATTACCCTGCAGGAGACTCACAGAGTACACTGACAGCACACTTCCATTCAGTTTGCCTAAAGGGTCATTAAGCCAATCATCACAGTGGTGTCCTCACAAAACCAGTCAGCTATCCACGGGATGCTGGCTATAAAGAGTGACCCAGAAAAACATTCTGTAGACCTCGGGGAGTAACAGTTAACAATGCACATCTCATGCAAGAGAAGTGCAGACAGCTTATGCTAAGTGAACTATAAGAGTCATTCTGTTTGCTAATGTAGCAGGACTTGTCGTGCATGGGGCGCTCATGGTGAGACTGTACCACCTCTGTAGGCTGCCAGGTCTGGGTTCTGCTTTGTGGTTAAAGTCCATCTGTGAGCTTTGTGCCCAGGAATATGGCATCCTTTAGTGTTGGAACAGACAGCACAATACTGCCATTCCCTGTAGTAATACTTTCTGTATAAAATGCAAACTAAAAATGAGTGAGACACTCACTGGTGTCCTCTAAGAAAGATGCTAATCACAGAGATCAGTACAGAAAAGCAGGGCAGAGCACTCATACCCACCTGTTATAAAACTCGGTGTTATAAAAAGCGATGCAATTTACTGATTTTTAACCAGTCTTAAAGTTAATCAACAGAATCAATCAATTTAGATATTCAAGAAGAAGTAGCAGTTTTCAGAATTTGGACTAGCATTAAAAAGACCACGATTTTCAAAAAGAGATGAGGTAGTATTTAGCATTACTTTTTCTTGCAGAACTCTATAGTCATTCACATATTGCAAACCACAGGTGGGGTATTCTGTCTGATTATTTTTACCCCACAAAAATATCATTGCTATCTAGTGACCCCATCCATATTTAACAAAGTCTAACAGTGATATATAGCGTTAATGAATATTTGTGTTAAATAACAAGTAAATTGTTGCTGTAAGCATTCTGAATTAAACATTCCATTCCTAACATCCTCTCTGCAATTAACATCATGCTAATTTACATTTTAATTACTTCCCAAGAAATCACTACCTTTGTTGACAATACAACATAATGTCAACTTCATTGTGTGCTATTGGTGAATCCGTAATGAACTTAATTTGATAATTAGTGATGTTAATTATCTTTCTAATATGAAGATAAAGATATAATTATGCAAATAGTACACTGGATTTCGAAAAATAAATCCCTCAAAGGTTTTCACACAGACAATTGCAAGGGCATTTTCTGCGGAGGTGAGGCTTCTGTCTTTCCTTAGGTTTCCAGAGCAAACAGAACAACCACACTGTGGGTGTTCTGCCTAGGTGAGGCGTTTATAAATAAGTGATATCACAACTTTTTAACGCCTTTTGAAATCCAAAGTGTATTTATACAGGGATGTTTTCAATATATTCTACAGGGGGGAAACACAGACGGCTGAGAAAGACAGCAGAGTGAAGCTGAGGATTTGACTCCCGAAGCACTCCTGACTTATCCTGCTGTCCAAACCTCTGGTTACAGTGAGGGACAGCAAGTGGGGCAGGTTTTTCTTCCAGAGCGCATGCAGCTTTGCAGGAAGAGCCAGCAGTCTGCCTACAGGCGGGGCTCTGTGGTCTGGCACTTGTCCTAGAAGAACTTATTTTAATGTTAGTTTACTATATTTTCACCTGTATGTACAGTAGCCATCCATCACTTGTAGTGCTCTAAATGCACTGGGAGTTAAAAAAAAAAACAACTACCCAGGGTTCTGTGCAGTTCACACAGGATAGAAAAAGAATCCCAAACAGTACTCATACGGGTTGAAATAAACAACAATTGTTCTTCTTTTTGCAAATATAGATATTGACACTTGATGACAGTTTGCAGAGATCAGGGGATGCAGGCAAGCACAGAGAGTGGTTTCAGAACTGCATAGCTGTCCATACTAGGTATAGAGCTCATCTACCTAAATTTTGGATTTTGTTTTTTAAACTTACAATTCTGTCATTACAACATGTTTCTAATTATGACTAAGACAGCCATGTTTACACAGCCCTCACTACAGACATTTGGCAAACACGCAAATCTCTTCCAGTTCTAGCTTTGCGATATCTTCTGAAAACACTTTGTAAGGCACAATACTGGCAAACAGATGACAGTTCAACAACATCCAAATTGTAGGACTGATAAGTTTAAGGACAGTATTAATTTTACACAGACTAAAATCCATCTTTAAGTTATTTCCAGTGGGATGCCTTCTTTTTGAAAGAGATCCCCATGCTTGGAAATGAAAAACAAAACTTTACATTTTGTCTCTAATACCTAACACAATTCACATTCCACTGGCATTATCTTTCAAAAGAAGAACAATTTATCAAAGGTGCTGATAGGCTGTCACATCTTGATATGATAAGGAATAACACAAAATGAATAATGTTTTCATCAGATTGGGGCTTTTTATAATTACTACCCCTTTTTGCCGGCGAACAGAGACAGCAGTAGCAGAAACGCCAATTTCATGCACTCCTGCCTGAATAATATCTCTGTGCTTCCTTTTCCAGATGGCAACGTTTTCACTGGAGGAACTAATGATGTGGGCACATTTAGGGAGAAAAACAACAATAACAGCGTCTTTAACCTTCAACAGCAAAATGCGTGTTCTACAAAATGTTCCCTGGGATAAATTAACAAATATCAATTACATTGCTCACTGAGGTGTAATCGGCTGTAATAATCAAAATTAATTTTAAAAAATAATTAAACAGACCCCAGGGCGAATTGCCCCAGCTCAGTGGTATGACATCACTGGATGCACATGTACCTGTGAATGAGCTCTCACTTTGCTAATGACCCCGGCGCCCCAGAGAAACGAACGTCCGACGCCCGTCCATCACAACGTGCAGCGTAGCCAATTGAGCAGACACTCGGAGACATAGATATCTACGCACTGAAATCAGTCTAAATAAATGACTACATTTTTTGGGGGGGCCACGATGGAGGAAAAGTCATTACAGATATATGCTCAGATATTTTCTGCCAACAAATTTGCTTCGAAATGAATGGCAGCCTCACTCTGAATAAGTAATAAAATCCATTAAAAGCCAGCGTGCGGTACATTGTCCCAAACATGGGTTCATTCCAGTTTTCTGGGGATTGTATAATCAAAACAGCGCAATATGACAGTGTTACAAGTGTGTCACCGACTCAGAGCCCTTGTTACATTTGTGGCGTTCCGTTCTATTTCCATCAGTCTGAAACCCTGGAAATTCCGCAACGCAACAGCATGAAATAGACTCAAAGTTTTGGGAAGGATTCTAGAACATTTTAGCTCAACCTGCATGTCGTAGACCTCTTCCACACGGCAGAGGACAGGGAGAGATCGGGCAACCACACGAGTACAATGATTCTCTTTTCCATTTTTTAAAGATAAAAAGTTCAGAATGACTTAAAGCTGGTTGGCACAAAGTTGTAAGAGAGCACACACCTTTTATATTAATATATCAGATTTTTTCTCCTTTAAAAATAGCGCTTTACTTTAAAAGATCCATCCATGATCGATTCCAGTACATGGTGAAGGGGGAGCCAGAGCCCCTCCCAGCAAACAATGGGCGCAAGGCAGGGTACACCCTGGACAGGACGCCAGTCCATCACCGGGGAGACATAGACATGCACACACTCACACCAGGGCCAGTTTTCTCAGAAAACCAATGAATCTATCAGCAGGTCTTTGGACTGTGGGGGGAAAGCAGAGCACACAGTGAAAACCTATGTTAACAAGGAGAGAATATACAAACTCCACTCAGATTCCTCCTCAGGATTTAAACCCAAGAGCCCCGGCTCTGCAAATCTGCAACGCTAACTACTACACCGCCGTGCTGCCCGGAGACAAAAGAGTCGCAATAATTCTGAGAGAAAGAGAATCTCCAAGCAGAGACAAGACAGATGCTCCCACCTCAACAGTGCAGCTTGTGTCTTTACTGAGCTTCTTCTGGGCCGAGCGCATCACAGAGGTCAGAGGGTTTGCTTTCTTCTGGTACATCTTGTTCAGCTTCTTCTTCTGGGAATCTAAAAATCACACGTTCGGAGACACGGCCCCATATCATAGCAGCAGGCTTAGAATTATGGAAGAAAAAAAATGGCACTGAAGATTTTCAAACGGGAACCTTTTCTCTTGATAAACAAGTCACGGCTTTCAAAGACAAACACTATTTTACACAAACATTTTGGTGATCGATTACTTGCAAAAAAAAAGCATTCTGAATTATCTGAAAAAGAAGGAAACAATAAGCCAAAACTTGCTCAGCAGATTAGACATTACTGGGGAATGACTTCTATGGGTGTCAACTGCCATGCATTTAGTATGTACCTAATATTGCTTAGGAATGTGTCACATTTGTAGAGTAGATATAATTTAGGTGAGCATTCTCTCCCCGGCACACTTACCTAAAATACAGGAAAGGATTCGCTTTTACACAGTGTAATGGGAATAATATATATATATTTTTTAATCAACAAACCCATGAACTGTTGCCAAGCCCTGACGGCGGTCTCTTCCCACAGGGGGGTGACCTCCGAAATGTTGACGGCCCCCTCGACACCCCCCTGCTTCACGGACAGGTCAATCTTGTACGTCTCCTCTAAGGTGTGTCTCCTCTCCGCCAGCAGCCTCTTCCACGTGGACCCCACCAGATTCAACAGCTCTGACTGAACTGGAAGGAATGTGCCGGAAAACTTGAAGCAAGCAGTCATGATTCAAGGTCTGTGTTGTAAGTCTATACGTAGGACATTTTTATATAGATGCACACACCAAACAAAAAAGAGAATTTGCTTTATGACCAAATCTGTGTAAAGGTGTATTCAAAAAGATATATCCCCATGTCTGTTTTGCAGCACTACAAAGCATAGCTAATGGTGTATTGAGTCTATAAAATCAAAGTCAGCAGTTAATTAACAGTCACGCTCCCACAATTAATGTAATATATAACGTTTTCCATTCCCAGTGGGTGCTGGGGATGAACTAGATAAAATAAAGTTGTTATTTTCTTGAAGGAATAGAAACAAAAATCTAAAATGAAATATTTTTCTTCTAAAATCACTCATCAAGCAAGTTAACAGTGAAAGCTGAGGTTTTTTTTAATAATACAGACTGATATGAAATAAAATGTTGGATATACTGGGAAGACAAAATAGCTAAAGAAAATGAGAGAATTCTGCACTTGTAAAGAAAGCCCTAGAACAGCAACTAACAGTCCAAAATAAAAACTGAAGGACCCACTGGATAGTCCCATGTAATACACAAACTTTAGTTTGACACAAACTAAAGAAAAGATCACTGTCCTAAAATTGCAAACAGTCTTCCACCTCTTTGACACCTACAATGTGTAGAGGATACAAACACTTGGGCTGAACCAGACATACAGTATCTGCATATTACATGGTTAATTAAGCATGAGCAACCACTATAAACCTAAGCATCTGAGGTCTCAGTTCATTAATTCAGAATTATACCGCTTGGTAATGTTAATAGGGGATTAAATATTTAAGCCTGATTGGGTAATGAAAAAAGTACAATACTGTGTCGTACTGCTGCTTTGTACAGTTCCTATGCCTTGCTCCACACCAGGTCAAAATCCAATTCAAAATGAAGCACAATGTCTGTGGACACACAGCACAGGCCCTCAGGCTGCAGACATTAACCACTGGGGGGGTGGAGATGTGGACCACCTACACAAAGACAGACACACACTGCCCGCAGATGCACTGCACACAAACACAACTCACCGTCAAACGACTCCGACACTTCGGGGGTCACGTTCATCTGCGAGTTTTTATTCGGCAAGAAATGATACCAGATCTTCTTGGAATGTTTTTTCTGAGCTTCCCATCCAAAGCCGTCTGAATCACTGTGGCATTGAAACCATCATGTAACAATGCTGAACCGAAACACGTTATCATGAAGAACACTGCTACTCTCTGCTCTGAGGTACAGAAAATTGGTATTCTCAACTATTTAAAACACAGTAAAGCACAGTGAAGTCAAGGAAAAGTATAGTAAATTTGTGTAACATAAAAGCACAGTAAAGTGTAGTAAGGCGCTGTAAAATCAAGATTAAAGCACAGTAAAGTGAAGTAAAGCACAGTGAAATCAAGGTAAAAGCACAGTAAAGTGCTTTTACTGTGAAATTCTGTTTAACATATAGTAAAGTGTAGTGAAGATCACTGTAATCATGGTGAATTGTAATAAAACAGTGAAACTGTGGTACAAACAAGCACACAGAAGCACAGAGAGGTAGAGTAAAGCACGAGTACACATGGGATAAGGGTGGTGAGACCTTGGAAACCCTGTGAAAGCACCGTGCACCTCTACTGCAGCACAGGCAATCAGCGACAGAGACTGAGACTGAGACACAGCATGTGGGCACCTTCCGGAGCTGATCTGGAGGAGGCAGTGCGTCAGGCAGGTGACGAAGTTGACGTTGGCGTTGTACGTGGCCAGGATGACGTCCCACTGCTCCTGCAGGACTCTCAGGGTGCTCACGATGACCTGCTGCTCCGGCAGGCTCTGCCGCGGCCGCGACAGGAAGTACAGTATCGCCCGGTTCAAGCTGTTGTACAGCACGCTCACGGTTTTCTCCCGGTGGGCCTGGGCCTTCTCCATGACCTGCACACAGCACGGGGGCTTTCAGCGGAGAGTGTTCACATGGGGCCGAGGCACAGTAAACAAGTAACAGCTGGGGAAACACTTCCCACATGCAAAACAGAAGCAATCCCCTGTGCTGCCACAGAAAACCAGCTGAGAGGATTGACTGTATATTACATGACTGCAAAAATTGCATGCTAATAAACAAATTCAGCATTGTGCGGTATCAAAGTCCAGTTCTATTTAATGCAAAATTTACCACCACAATCTGTTCCGTGATAAACAGAAGGATCTTTTCAGGCTCCACCGCCAACATCCCAGTGTAGAGCTTCTCCACCAGTTTCTTACTGAAGAAAGCAACGTTCCCAACCAATGTGGCGATTTTGTTGTCTGTGGAAATAATAAAACAGTAAAGGCCCAGTGCTCTCACAGCTTCCAGCTCAAAACCAAAAGCGTGTGTAATTAGTGCAGCCATGGAGCTAACACAGAGACACAAAACAAGTTAAAGAGATAAGGCTTCTTTCCCTAAAAAGTGTCCAGCAAAAGAAAGACACTACAGACACTACTTTACCATCTCTCGACACGTGTGTGGCTTGGCCCTCTTCCTGGAACGTCATGTGCACTATGTCCATTAGAAACACCAGCACCTCAGTCTGGAAACTTTGCTTTTGGTCGTGGGAGGCTTTCTCTGTAGAGAACTTAGCGCAAACAAAGAAAGCAAGGTTGAAAACACTGTGCCAAAAAGTGTTAATCTAGTTATGATATTAACGATTTGTTCACATACGAGATAGGGGTCTAATTCTAACAGCATCACCACCCCACACCCACCTCACATCCCATTCTCTAAATTCAGGAGTATCCCCTCAGTCCTGACTATCAGCTCCACAACTGAGTAAACAGTGACACCTCATGGAGAAAATGAAAAATGCACACAGCCAAACCAGCCAAACTGCCCTAAACCAAATACCCTGCTTTTCCTGGCCATTAATATTGATTCCATACATACAGTATGCTCTACCCAAAGAGTCCTGTTAAGTACTTCTGGAACTTAATGCTTCACAGGTGTGCTGTTTCTTAATTCAGAAGGCAGGGCGCGTCCCCTCAAAGGTCTGGCTTGGGAGACATCTATAAGTTTTGAAGCGATAAAAAAGGGTGGGTCGCACACACGCAGTTTCCTACCTCCAGAAGAAGCACGAAGGGGTGTAGCTGTCTCTTGGCGGGGATGTTGATGAGACTGTCCATCAGCAGAATGCGCATGAAATCGCACACCTGTTTCCTGGCTGGGTGGGAGTCTCGCGGCAGCACCTCCTCTTGAGCAGCACCCGCCTCCGACAGCACCGCGCTGTCCTGAGGGGAGGCCGCGACACAGGCCTGTGGGACAACATGGACAACATGGACCCCACTCACAAGGCCACTGAACACGTCGCAGCGGTGGAGCGGCACCAGAGCCGTTCCACATTCAGCACTGGAATGTGTGGCAGGCCTTCTGGACAGCAGCCCGGGCCGAGGCCAAGCGAGGATCAGGCCACCATGAAACGTTCATCCCGCTGCCAGCTGCAACTATGAACCCAGTCCCTGAGAGGGTCTCAAGAAAGAAGCATCTCTTCGAGAACGTGGTTATACGGGCAGTGTTCAAGTCCCAAGGAGGAAATGCCAGAACACACAACGTAACGAAAAGGTTTAAAAAAACCCAGAAAGGTCAGGGAGGTCTAAATTCATTCACACTCTGTCACAAAACCACTGACCTAGCGCAGTGAATTTGTTAGAGATCAAATCAAATTGATGTACGCAGCTTTATAAGACAGACCCTGCAGCAGCTGGTTACAGCGGAGACAGAGACATTACAAGGTGTGAGTGGTAGAGAGAGGGTTCTGGCTTTTGGTGCTGAAGTGATCCGGTTTCCTTTCAGGCCAGCAGAGGGAGTTTGAATCCCCATCAGGGCATACTGGATCTTAAGCATTTCCATCTGGAAATTTTACTTATCTGTCAAAACTTGTGTTTAGGCCTCTTGTGAATGACTACAGTAGAACAGTGTCATCTCATAACAGATGGAAGAATTAGCTTGAATGCAGGGAGGAGGAAACACAGGAAAAAGACTCATTCTCAACGTCAGAAAGCCCAGGAAGTGTGAGCGTTCTGTCACAACATCCCTGAATTACAGGATGCCACATCTGCAATACTCCTTCGTATAGTACTTCACTTGTGGTGAAATTCGAACAGAGTGCGCCGTAAAACTATTTTTGTTGATTTTTTTTGTCGTGCAAGTTTTGTTGAAGAAGGTTCCAGAAAGCGCCAGAACGGCAATCCGGCTCCCGAAAACAAGGGCCAAAATGGCGTTGCGGCACATTCCGCTACAATTCAAATATATTCAGCACTGTTGCCGTAATGCGACTATTCAAACACACCACGTCTGACTGTAGTCCAGCCTTCCAGTTTACTTTAGAGAGGATTATAATAATCCCATGGCTGCCGTACACAGTGGCATAACAAACAGAAGGAGCACAGAAGCTTCCGACGGACTTACTTCATGGGAATCTGGAGGGAAAACTGCTCCTGCCAAGGCGTGAAGGAAGTCGGGAGAGGCCCACAGAGGGCTCCTGGGGAACATGCTGTGGACCAGGCAGAAGAACTGCATGATGCTCCCTGGATAGTTTATTTCCCAGGAGTCCTCTGCGCTTGTTATGGGCTTTATGGTACGAGAGAGGCAGAGGCAAAAGCAAAAGATCGATAAGACATTACCAGAACATCGGTACAAAGTGTTTTTCTTCTTTCAACATTAGACAGATTTGTTTGGTATACTGTATGTGAAGAGCTTAGGAAGTATGTTTTTTTATAAACAACAGACATTAAATGTTTAATTCACTCTTTAAGAAAAAGTCATTTGCATGATGTGTAAACAGAAAAGTGTTTATTTACATCAAAGGGCATAGACTGAATTAGTTCACAAAGCGCCATGGTTTAGTGAGACGATAAATAGGTTTTTGGTCACACACCTTGCTTAAAATAATCTTCACCAGCTCTAGGAGCAGAATGGCCACATCAGCACACAGCTGGATGTCCTGGTTTTCATCCAAGCTGTCTATCAGACCCTGCAGTCCGACATCAAGGTCCATCTGTGGCGAGAGAGAGACAGAAGAAGTCTTGCTATCACTGCCACTCAAGTGAGCCTGTCATGAAATCCTTACAAATCATAATGAGAAAACCAGTCGCAGAGAAAGTCAGTCACTCAATCTCACCACTCTGTTTCATTTTTGCCTGCTGGTCTCACACTTCATTATACTTTACTGTGCGGAGGAAATATTATCACTAGTGACCAGGTGCCAATAGATATGTGTGAATTGTCTAATCTGCTGACACATACTCCGTCATTGTTTCCACATGTTAAAAACTTGCCCTCGGCAAATCCCATCTGTTTTCCAGCTTTTCCAGGACCTGTGGGATTCCACCTCTATATTTGCACTTTACAGGAGGAAGGTTCTCAACAATGCAATCCTGGAATGTGCTGCAGCCCCTTTTATCATTGTTTTCATAAAATGCGCAGACAGCAGCTTGAATCTGACAATCAGCTCACACAACAAACCTGCCCCCCCAGGCAGATTATTACCTGTCCTGTTGGTACTTCACAGCCAGTTTTTTGCAGGAACAAAGCGGCCAGCAAAAAGTAAACCTGCGGGATGTTTATGTGGTTTCCCAAGAGCCTTTGCAATAAATCGAATCCCGGAGATGCAGCGTTTGTGCGTTCAAATGACCAGGAACGCATCTTCAAATTGTCTGTTAAGAAAATGAAAAAAAATAGTGCGATTACAACATCTGGCAACTCCGTCTCACCTGGGTAAGAGACAGAAAACCTTCACCCTAAATCATTCTGCAGTTTTACTCCCTCTTCCCCCCCACAGAATGAAATAATTCAGTGTAATAACAGGAGAATAAAAGTATACTCATAACTGTTAAGTAAACAAAAAATAAAAAGGTCATTGTAAAATCTCATATTCGTTCTTGATTTGTTCGACTCCAGGTGCTATGTTTTGTCATTTCTGCTTTAACAGGAATAAATAAGCAGAGCAGCTTTGTGTTGTATGGCAGATGGAATTTGCCATTACCCATTGGGATCCTGCACTCTCCCATCATGGATTCAGCCAGGACTCCAGGAGCTTCGCCATCTCTGAACTTCATTAAAATGTTCTGGTTGGACAGGAACCCTGTTAATAGCCGTACTCCCAGCAGGACTGATGTTGAATGAATTTTGCCTTGTATGAAGAGCAGAAACCAGTCAGGTCCCAACGCGGTAAAGATTTCCTCTTGATTCCTGGGAAACAAAAGTAAAGGAATGTAACAGACTGACATGGTTCTTCAAGGTCAGGACATTCACAGCTACCACTGCAGGTGCACGAGTTACTGTATGTGTGGTACAACAAAGAAACACAAGCAGCTGAGACCTCATTGTCTACACAGATTACAAAATAATACAAAGAAAAAAATGTTTTAGGATCGAGCAATACAGATTGTGCACCTTACTTTTACCACGGGAAATGTGTTCCAGTTTATGTGAAGACAACTATTAGGGATATTAACACCAGTTCCACATATAATTGCTGACGTACTGGATACTGGGTGAAAATCGTAAGCGTTAATTCTAACGTTGTGCCGTATGACATCTAAATTAAAAAATGCAAGTACAGAATACAACCGTCTTGTGGCTGTCTTTCCTCTCTGTGACACTCACTTCGAAGACAGAGCACTGTCTGAGCAGATTAAATCAAACAGCAGCTCCAGCAACTGGTTTCTGATCCATATTGTCCTTGCAGGTGTTTGGCCCAGGGCTACAAAAGCAGAAGTGAAAGAAACTGCTCATATCACGGCGTGCCGGTTGAGTGGTTTGGATTTCAGCTCAAGACAATTCAGTCCTTGAGAATATAGGAATATAGAATAGGAGAGAAATTCTGCAGTTTTCGATGTACTTCTATCTCAGAAGATGTTTCAAAATGGGACGATAGAACAATTACGGTCAGAAAAAAGTAATCAATTATTACAGGTAATGGGAGATCTTCATTATAAAATTAAAAGCAGCATAACGAAGTCCCAGTTTTGATAGTTAACATCGATCACACAACGCTCAACAGGACCGCAGAACTAGTCTGGCCCAAAGAGAGCATAATTCAGTGGCTTTTCTAATGCTGTCTAGATAAGAAGATTGCAGTCCCAAACCACACAACTACTTAAACTTTAATATCATTACCTTGTGGTGATACATCAAAAACGAAATCAGAAAAAATGACATTCTCATTTAAGGTGGGTGGCAGCAACGTGTGAACCAGGAACAATCCAAGTCTAGACGAAAACCATAAGCATGCAAATATGAAGACAAGACAGAAATCAAATCTTTAATCAATACAATGCAATAAATATGCGAATACTCTGACACTGTGATCAATATGAATGAGATTCCATATAAGCCTTATGATAATCCTAGATTTAACTTTAACTCTCTATATATAAATTCTATACAACGCTAAAACCTTCTTCAACCCTCAATACTAAAACCTAAACCTAATCCCTAACCTTAAATCCAAATCCTTATCCCAATTCCTCAAATCCCAACACTAATCTTAAACTCATGTTTCTGGAGAGCCACAGTTCACCAGTTTTTTAACACAATGTACTGTATAATCCTCAGTGAGCAAAGATCTGGAAACTGTGGTAATTAAGAGAACAAGACAGGACAGGATCTCTCTGCAGAGATTTTTAAGTATGTGCACTGCATGCATGACTATGAGCACAAGGTTAATTTGGTAGGAAAGTGAAATGATTTATGTATCAGCTTCTATGCCCACCACTACATGAATATCTAATGACCAACAAGTGACCTAGGATCCCCACTGAATACCTCACGAGAAATATGTCCTCTTGACAATTTAAGTTTCAAGCAGAAAACGTTAATCATAACTAAGGCAGGGGGCCCTGTCATACAGTACCTGCATACATCCTTGATGTGAAAGTACCCTTTGAGCAGACCTGTCATGATGGCACAGATAACGGCTACTTTTTCACATGTGACAGAAGGGTCATTCAGAAGGAAAAGGAGCTTTTTCATCACGTGTAACCGATGCATGACTTCAGCATTCCAGGGGTCGCCGCTGAAAGGGATAAGAACATCATCCTGGAGGACCGAGGAGGAAACAGCAAGATGTTCTGAATCTGTAATCGACCGTGTGAGCCAGTCAGCATTAGCCCTGGGTGCTTGTAATCGTTTGTCCACTTGGCCTGTCATTGCCCACCGTGCTGTGCCCAAATGCAGGTTCACTTGTGTTTTCACACACGTTTATCCCACAGCACCCTTCTGGTTTCCATCATACACTACCACCACAGATCACATTGCTGATTATTTGAAACAATACACAATCTACGATATTGTTATTTTTATTCCAGCGTGCGTTTGCCATTATTTTTCCCCTCTCCAGTATTCCCTTGGGGTTAAAAAGCTACTTAAGCACAAGCTTCATAGTGCAGCGTCTACAGTACCTCATCTGTCAGAACCTTCCTGAGAACATATACTGTAGTATTGATTCGTCTGACGGTTCACTTTAGAAGTCTAGACACAAGTCCTTCGATTCACAACTTTCTCAGCTGTTTGTGTTGCTTCCTCCTTTTTAGTCAGTTTTTCTTTAGAAACTCTCTCTCCAGAATCCAGTATAAAGTTGAGCAGAAAAAAAAGATTTGGAAGCATGCGAGTTTGTGATGTAGAGGCAAAATCTATAATGAGTTCATTGATAAGAACAAAGAATACCTTGAAGATTTCAGAATATCCACAAAGTGTTTTAAAACAGCCAAGTCAAGATTTTCTGGAGCCTTCTGCCAGACCTTTAAAACGAGTTAAACACAAATAAATCATTGTTTTGTGATCCACAAATTCAGTTACTGTAGTGAACAGTGGAAGCTAAAGATAAATACATGTATTTTTATTTCTGAACAATTTAAAGCTTCATTAAAAATACTGAACAGCATCTTACACTGTGTATCATAAACACATACGTTTCTTAATTCTGTGGTACTGTTAATCTTCTTTTCCCATTTCACCAGTGATGTGGAATATTCTTTAAGAAAATGTTATACTCACTATTTGTTTTTCTGGTGAATTCCCTAAATTAATTTCTTAATTTTTCACATTTTAACTAAAGTGACTGAGAGCTCAAGAAGATAAATGCACATGTGAACAATGATCTAAATCCAGTTTTGAATCCTAATGCTACACTCAATTTAGTATAAATAAAAAACAATTCGAATTCTGATAGCACTTGAAGCAAGAATCACACATTTAAACTGATTCTGTCAATATAAATTGTTTCAAGTGGGCTATAAATGCACACCTTCACTCAAAAGAGCTGCGTTTAGAAGACGATGTACTGTACCTCAAAATCACAGAGGATCCCCTCAAAGGCACAGAGGTTCTGCACTGACACTGAGCCGCAGCCCAGCTCCATGGTTCCCACTATGGACAGGACCAGCTGGAAAACCCTGCGGCTTATCAGACGACACTTCATCTTCAGCAGGAACGCCAGCAGCTGGGAAGATGGAGCAAAAAGTTGGAGCATGTTCACTTCATGTGTGAATTTCAACCCCCAAAAAAGGTCATCTTTGTTATTGATCAGGAAGTGTCCTGGGATTCAGTGAGACCAACTTTTCACTAACAACCAAAGTAACACTAACCTCCATCAACCATCCTAACCCTAACTCTATCTCTAACCCTAACACACCCATTCTAACCCTAACCCTATCCTTACCACTAACCCACACTCTATCCCTACTCCAACAGCCATTCTTACCCTATCCCTACCACTAGGCTAAACCCTATCCCTAATCCTAACAGCCAAACGGAGAAAAGCAGTGAAATTCATCATGACTGTTGCGTTGTTTGCACTACCTGTGTGCCAGGTCCACAGTGCTTTTTTCCTATATGTTACATTTCACACAACTGTAGCCTTTGATGGCCAGTCCAACCGTCTGTAACTTAACTAGACCTCCTGGCAATGGAGACCTCCTGGCCATCATTTTTAATAATTCACCTACTGTGTGGTAGAGAGCAATACAAAATCATTCATTTTTATAATCCGCATTACCCTGTAGCCCTGTACTCGAATCATTTCCTTCTCGAAGCTGGAGCTGGTGCTCAGGACGGAAAGGAGGACTTTCACAGCTGCGTACATGGAGCTGTCGTCTGACGCCATGGCGACCAGGCTGAGGATCACCGCAGGCCCCCCGATGTACTGTAAACTGCTGGCTGCACTCTTCGACACAAATGTCCTTACTCCTGCAGACAACAACAACAGGTCATCCGACTCTGAGAATACGAAAGGCCTCCGAGTACAAGAGAGAAAGAGCTATGAGTGACTAAGCAGCTAGATACATATTTGGACAGTGAAGAACAACTACAGCTACTGCTACTACTAATAATACTATCCTTACTTCTGGACACCCTTCTCAATGGTGACTTACGAAATAAAAAATTCACATTAAGAGCACGTGCGAGAAACAATCATTTGTGTACAATAAGGTCAAATGCATATATGAATAAAATGACAATGAGACTAGTGCCACACAAAAAGAACTAAAATAGTGTAGAGACAATATAGGTTATTGTACATTGAACAGTAACGTTATCCTTGCAGGTACACTGAGTTGGTATTCATTGAGTACTGAGTTACTGATGTCTACTGTAGCATGTAAATGTTTAATATCGTAGTTTAAGGTATTCCCAAAGCCATTTCCACCCTATAGCTGTATTTCTGTAATGCTAATATTATAATTTTCTCTGCTGACTCTGTGCTGTAATACAAAATCCGAATACCTTCTTTCTTGTGAGTGTCCTAATTCATAAAAACAACAAAGAAACACATATTCGACAGGAGAAGCTTCAGTACCGATATCTCCCACCAGAGCTGCGCCGATGGTCCGGGCAGATCCTGAAAGGTGCTGAGCAATATTTTTGGCCAGGTAAACTGGAGTTGAGCTGTCGCGTGACACAAGCCCCATCTTAAATAAACACAGAGGGGCAGACACAGGGAAAACAGGCATGAACTGGCTAGGACTGATAACGAATGCAAGATTTAAGCAAGCCTCTGTAACCTTTCATTACATGTGTCAAAAGATGGTTTCAGAGGACTGAATTTTACACAAAAAGAGGAAGATGGGAGCCGGACAGCGTCTTTCAGATGCAATTGTGTGCTTTCTGTTTTTTTTCGAATGACAAGGACAAAAAGCGGGAAAAAACCTGCTCGGCGATCAGTCGGCTGTCGACTTCATTGTAAAGGTCCCTGATTTCTGTGACAGCGGTGACGGTGGACACTGCTGGATTGATGCCGAAAGAAATCCGTTCCTCTGCGACAATTCGGAAAGGCGGCAGGTCCGGGCGATCAACCCCTAAAAAATGAACACGGGGGGGTTAGTTAATGAGAAGCTACTGACATAATCCCACATGATGAGGAAGAATAATCCCAATGCACTTCACACAAGTCCCAAAATTAAGAAGGACAAAGATACGAGTAATAGGTTTATTCCACGCTGAAAAAAAAGAAGAAAGAAAACACAACGTCTCGGCCGCGGAGCCTTCTTCGGGTGTGAATGCTTTTTTTCAGCATGGAATAAACCTATTACTTGTTCCTTTGCAGCCTACGCATGCTGACGCAGCTCCCCACCTGAAAGACAAAGACGTTAACTTCAGCAACCGCCCTACTTACGGAACACACCCTGGGGAATGAGGGCCTGAAAGTTGCCCAGGTAGCCCGGCCCCAGTTTGTAGACGAGGGCCGCGGCCTCGGGTGACACCGCCTCCTCCAGCAGCCACGTGGGGCCGAGCCGCCAGACCAAGGAGGCGGGCCGCGCCCATCGGGGCGGGGTGCCTATGATCCCGCACACGTCCACGGCCGCGGCGGGGTCCATGGCGCCGCTCTGTCCGGGGAACGGCTGGATGTACCGCATCTGCCAGGGGGAGAGGCGGCTCTTTCAGCCCGGAGAGGCGGAGGTCCGTTTCGACAACGGGTTGTGAATATTGTCCTACGTGTTAAGGATTTGAAAGTAAAATGTATTTTCGGATGTGAAAACTGATACAACAAATGGCGAGACTATTTTTCAGCATCACCAGCAGTCAATTCTTTTAGGGGTTACAGATAAGTTTTGCTGTGGCTGGGAACTACATACTGTACACGGTGTGCATGTGATAATAGGTTAATATAGTACGTGTGTGTAATAATGGGTCTATATCGTACATGTGTGTGATAGTGGATCTATATAGTATGTGTGTGCCATCATAGGTATACAGTACATACCGTAGTACATGTGCGTGATAACAGGTATATGCAGTATGTGTGTGATAACAGGTTAATATAGTATGCGTGTGTGTGATATAGGGTACCTTCTCTGCTCCTATTAGTTTGCCATTCAAGTAGGCCATGACTTTGCAGGTTTTTTTCACATCCTTGGCAATGACAACGGTGAGGTGATGCCACTGTCCAGGGATCAGCTGCTTGGAACATCTGAAGCGAACTGAGGCTGGTAAAGAGCTTGAGCCTTGAGCTTCCGGCTCCATCATATCTGAAACACGCACAGAGAGTACCTCAGGCACGCACTGACAGAGACTGCGAAACTGCAGAGTGTGCAGCATGCATGCCTTGAAGGGTGGGATGTCAAAAGTGGGCCTGTCTATGTGAATTCATTTCCTGTACAAGTGAGTGATCAGATGAAAAAACAGCTTGTTCACAAGAGCAGCGCAATCTCTCTTTAGTGGTACAGTTGTGTAAAGCCTGGTGTCATGTGTCAGGCGTCAGGTTATACAAGGAAGAAGCCAGGAGTGCCAAGGTAATTGTCTCTAAAGCAGTGCTAGGGTGATCGTTAGGGGATGCAAAACAACAAGTGAAAGTCAAACAGGCCTGAGGTCACACACTGTATAAGAAAAAATAGTTTCACATCCACTACTGAAAGCTATTTCACCTAGGAACTGAAATGCTTCCTCTTCTGTAGAGATCACTAAGCAGCCATCTGTTGCGGAGATGCTGATGGAGAGGCAGACGAAGTGCAGGGCGACTCTGGACATGTGGCGCACGACAGTGAGGAGGCGGAGAGGATGTGTGTCGCACGAGGAGCTGAACTTGCTGATCAGAAACCAGGAGGAGAAAGACAGACCGGCAGATGGAGGAAAGCCCCGGCACTCTGAAATGGAAAAGGAAACAAATACAGCACCACCCTTATTTCGTCAAACCCATCGAAGGCTTTACGAGATATTGATACCTGCACAATGATTCAGAATGGGTCTCTGTGTAATAATATAATAAATGTATGAATGACTCAATCTGTTTTAAGGAACACATGAAACATGAAGAACATGTTCTGAATGCAGATATAAAGCTGTAGTCCATTGGTTCTAGTGGAACAAGTGCACACAGTATATCCTACCAGAGCCAACCCCTCCAGTTGGAATGGCTTCTGCATTCACACCCTTCACGGTGGCCAGCGATGGGAGGAAAAGGCATCTGCAAAAACAACAGGAGTAAGAAATCAGCACCACAGATACACTTATCATAAGCAGCAATAATGCCACTGTTTTTCTAAGACTGAGGCTTGGATTATACAGCAACTCCAGCCCACTTGCCAATATAACACCGGAAACCCAGTTCTGGCAGAGTAGATCAGGAAGTCTCTGGCAAATGATAACCTGTTGTTAAACGATGGGTTTGGTTTGTTAAGCGTATTTGTTGTGGCTGATCAAAGGAGATGAGCACTGTCCTCAGCCCCAGCCTGGACTCCAGCAGGCCTCATGTCACAGAGCAGGGCTGGCTGGCTGTCCTTGGCTGTGCTCTCCTGAGGGCCTGCAGAGCTGCCCGGCTCGTCCCACAGGAGTGAAAACAAGCTGCCCAAAACTAGACACAGGTCCAAGAGAAACCGAACACAGGCCACTGGGAAACTGGGCACAACCATCAAGCAACCGAAAGCAGACCACTGAGAAACTGGACACAGGCCACTGGAAAACCGGGCACAGCCACTGAGAAACTGGGCACAGACCAGTGAAAAATGGGACATAACCATCAAGCAACCGAACGCAGACCACTGAGAAAGTGGACACAACCAACAAGAAAATGGGCACAGGCCACTGAGAAACTGGGAACAACCATTGACAAACTAGACCAGTAACAGACCAGTGAAAAAGTTGACACAGACCACCAACCTTCTTCCCCTCAGTATGCGCTACTCTCTAGAGTCCACAGGGCCGCGCTGCCTTGACTTTTAAGACCATCGTTCCTGTCAGACAGCTGGTCTCTAACACTTCTTGACCACAGAGAGCAAGAGCGAGCCCCCCTTACCCATATCCAGTGCTGCTCATATCGAACTCGACGAAGGATGGCGACGCCGAGACTCGGAGGGGGTGAAGGTTCCGCGGGGAGGTCATGGAGATGAGGCTGACAGTGCGGAGCAGAGGGACCGTCAAGCCCCCTCGCTCACTCAGCAAACTGAAGCTGGGCTTCAGCTTTCTGTGTGGCAAGCCAGCAGTCTGATCCGTGACCTGCCCTGAAAGCACAAACAAGGAGGCAGCCTTTCACCATCGTTATAGACCGAATTTCACAGACAGAGGTTGGCTATGAATTTCAATTCAATTTTTGCTTTTTGAATGCCATGGCAGCTGCAATCTGTCAGCAGAAGTCTCACTTACATATGACCCTAATCCTAATGTAGACTTCAATTAATTTGAAATACAGACTGAAAGGAACTAATAATTTCATTGATTAGGCTTGTGAAGATATGGGTTACAGAATGACGAGTCCTGTCGAATTGTCAGGGTTTTCTTACCCTGCGAAGATGAGCTGGAAGAGCGTGAATCAGCCCGCTGTGCAGACGGGGAAGGACTTCCTTCTCCACACTGCAAGGGGTCTCCCAGGCACAGAAACGACCTGAACAAGAAAACAAAATGTCAACCTAGCAAAGATTCCCGGACAGATTCAAGAGATTTCATTAAAATGACCTGGTGAGAGAAAACAAATTGTGTACATCCTTTGCCGCCATACCATAACCGCAACAACTAAGTGGGAAGGATACAGAGATCATCATAAAACCTTGAGGCTTTTTAAAAATGTTGTTTTTGTTCTGTAGTGCTGTGTGGTTCAGAGGGAGAGAAATCTGAAGTACAGATTTGATGACAGTGTGCTGGGTTTCTAGGTTGAATGAGCCAAGAAGCAGCGGCAAGGGTGGGAACAAGATGGAGGAGATGTGCACAGCAATGCATGTTGGGAAGGTGGGCTTGTCACGCAGGTTTATATTTAACTGGGTGTGGCAGAGACGTCCTTTATCTTCTGCACATTTTGTTTTATTGCACGAGAACTTCCACACTTTATATACAATAGAATAGAATAGAGTATATACAAAAGAACTAAAGAAATATACCCTATAATGCAACCTTGCACTCACCTCAAACACTTGTGATCAATAGCCTGTGAAGCCAGCTTCTCAAAGATCCTGATGACTGGCAGGTGTAGGGGGTCGTCTGTACTGTCCAGAATGGCCTGACAGTCTGTCAGGAGCGTGTGCAGAAGACCAGACTCACACATGATCTGTCGATTTCTCTCAGGCTTCACTAGTGTCTGAACATGATCGGCTAAAGCACACTGGAGTTCTTTTGACAGCTGGAAATTAAAGAGAAGTGTCTTTAGGTCTTCTCAAACATTGCTGACAGGAAGATTACAGAGGAAGCAAATTAGTGTAATAGGCTTTGACATTTATTACAACTATTTCATCTTCTACAACTTTTACATCATTTCAGAATCCTGATTATTGTGACTGTGCGCACTAACAACATAAAGAGATAAAATAAAGGAACACACAAAGAGCTAAGAACACATGGGAGATTGCTGCTAACAGCACTTTTGTAGCTAAAAGCTCTGGTGTATATGACCAGATATTTAATATAATAATAATGGCACTATTAATTAACTATATTTACTCCATTTGGTTAAATATCCTTTATGTAAAAGGGCAAAGATACATTATGGTATAGGCTTTACAAATTCCTAGAAAAAGTAAGCATTCACTTCCTATGAAAGAGTGTAAAAACATACCTGTACATCTTCCACACTAAATATTTTTGGAAGAAGGGTCATCATAACACGGACTGCTCCAGGATGCACAATTCTTTGATTCCAAGCGAACCTAGCAGAAACAAACAGAGCTTGTACATGGGACACACCGGCATGGCTCTCCAGCTGTATCCCAGCTCGTACCCGAGACACACCAGCATGGCTCTCCAGCTGTATCCCAGCT